GTATTCTACGAGTCAATCCGACCAAAAGCCTGCAATCAAGTGACTGGGAAGTACATGGAAGGCGGTTAGGAGTCGTCTCCAACAAATAAGGTCTATATCCACGCTGGGAGAGTCTGGCAAGCTGCTCGTGAGTACACCCAGCCTCCACGTTCAGAGCTCAGCAAGCTATACGTGGGTATCAAAAATGCTGAACACAGTAAAAGAAAGACTGGGCTCACCCCCTGTCCCCGAAAAGCCCAATTTCGCAGCATTGGGTAGGACGAGTACGGAGAGGTTGCTAAATTTTTTTTTTTTGGTTTAAAGGTTTGATAGCATATCTCGTGCTTTCGAAGTCGTCATCACAAGTAGTAGTTAAGTGTTGGGGATGGAAAGTAGGCATGACGTTTTGCGAAAGCTGGTCACTTCCACGATTCAAGAGAGTACATTTCGAGGACCTTAGATGTCCTGGTCCTATAATGAGAATGACGAAATATGAATGAGAACTGTGAAGTCGTCTCAAGGAGATACAAGCGTTTTCTGGGAATACAACCTACAAGATAAGCAGACGTACTTATGGCTGTCACTAATCACTTGCACCGATAGTTGGGAACAATTCCTGGATTACGAATAGGCTTCGCGGGCGTTATTATTCGCAAGGCTAGCCAGCGACATGGATGACGATAGTGTGAGTAAGATGGAGACGGGAAATATGCTAAGCTGTGTACTGCCTATGAAGGCGGTCCATCCAGATATCCATCTGTTGACGATGTCACGGGCCAAATATTCCAGGATACATGCTATCCTTATAAAAGTACGATAATTCTCTTGATATATTTGGGCTGAAAAAGGAAACTTGGTAAGCTGAGTAAGCCTTATTACAGATCCGAATACAACGTAACTATCACGACGTGATTTTACTTGGACGATGCCATCAGTCAGGACTTTCTTGATACTGTAATAATCTTAGGCGAATGCTAAGGAAAACACTTCTGCGCATACAAACATTGAAAAACTTCAAATTCTGCTACTCCATTTGAAACATGACTGTTGCATTCTAAGGAGTCGTGCTCGATCCAGCACGTCTTCATTCACGTCTTTCCATCGCAATTGTTGTGTGTGGTACGGTCTGTTTCTGTCATGACGACATGTGCGAGATTCATTTCATGGTCAACATTCCGTTTCCGGCTGCGACTACTGCTGATTGACTTGAACGGAAAACATGCCACCTCATCTTGTTCGTGGTCGTCTTTCGGATCGCTTGCACCAATTGGAGTTCGCTTTACCGTTCTTCTCATCCACGTATTGTCAACTATGTTTCCTGGTTAAACGGCTATTGCAAGTTGGACGGCTTGCTAAGTATATTTGCCTGGATCCCTAAGATGTTGTTTTCGAACGTTTGAACTACGCAGTTCGGCTACAAGTGTTGTTGAATCTCAAAAGGTATCGTCCAAGCGCTCTCTGGTGTGTGTGTGTGTGTGTGTGGAAAGATCGATGTGATTAATGGCTGATAGTTGATGCAGGAGCCCAAGATTAAGCTAAATAAGAGAGCGCTGAGATTACTAACCAGTCAAATAGGTGGTTTTGGCTTCAACAGTTGATCGATAGGTACAAGCCCTAATATGATTCATATTTGTCTCCTCTTTCTGTCAAATCCTCTAATGTCGATTTCCTCCCTCACTCAACGTCCCAGTAAGCTTACATATGGACCCCTCTCATCTCATGACCATCGGCTTCGACACACTAGCCTTCGAACCATGAATTTTTCATGGGCTAGATATCCTTGTAACTACTTCGTACATCCTCTTCAGCAATGTTTGTGATTTGTTATCCTCAAAAACATGATGTGATCAGTAGAAATTTGTATGCATGTATATATATATATATACACATATACATATACGTATATATATATGTATATACATATGAATGTGTCGTTTTCTTGCTCAGCAATCGCGAGGTTTTTAAACAGCATACATTTACTTCCATAAAAAACACAATACAATAAAACGCTAGCTGACGTTTCGGCAGTATCGCCTTCTTCAGAGCCGCTTTTTCGTGACTTCCAATGAGGAAGTTTAGAACAGCTGATTATAGTCGCATGTGGTTGACCAGGATCCTGGGAACTATATATACATACTTACTTGGCATTTGAACGGTCCGTCCCCACTAGTTGTGCAGGCCCCAGCATAATCACCATTTTTCGAAGGTTTTTTTTTTCGGAGATTTGCTGGTTAAGGCACTGTGATTCTCTGGAATCCCGTGGACAGCGTGGCCAAGGTGTGCCCCAGGTCCTCACCACGACTGGCAGTTGCAGCCCTTGTGGATTAGAGATCTGCTACCATGCGACTTTGACGCCAGGACGGCGGTGGATCCTGGAAGTGGTTTACTCTTAACTAGGCTTCCTGATGGAAACGCCGAACTTGAAAATGATTCTGTGCATCTGCTATGCTGGATATAACCTATGTAACCAGCTACAACATGCACAAACACATAAATGCCATCTTCCTCTGCTGATGTGCGCCATACAGTTCTGTTAGGCTTATGACGAAACAGAGGTCTTGATGAAACCAATCTCATCGTATGTGTATGTGAACCACACATTGTCTGTTGAAGAACCGGCTAGCAGATAAAGTGTTAGGAGTTGATCAATCACTGGGAAGGCTCCATGTATTTGACTTCAGCAAGAATTATTAGAGGTGATTGATCCATCAAGAATTATTAGGGATCAATGAATGCACATCTAGTCTATACAATAACTTGTGGCATCCTACCGATATAGCATATCAGTGCAGCTATTATGCCTGATAAATCTGTTATCAATTCGCCGATGCCGGAAGTATGGAAGGCTTGATGATATTACGCGCTGGAAAGAACCGAAGGCCACGTACGTATTACAGTGCACTTCTAATCATTGCGCTTCAAGCTTCCCATCCTGCTCGATTTAGAAGGTCCAGCAACTCTCCCGATAGAATCCTCAAACTCCCCATTACAACAATTTGTCTGAGGATGCGTATTGGCTGTACGTCGTAGTTGTACACTTACGAACACCCTATGGCTTGCAGTGGTACGCCAAACGAAACTCCTAATGGCGACTTCTGAAATAGCGCAACATACAAAGAGTGGGCATAAATTAAGATCGACGGTGGTCAAATCCGCTATGACCGTATCATAGATGACGTAGTGCCTTTCCGCGAAGTAACACGTTCACCACCATCACTAGCGTTTAAATGATTTGGACTGTAGCTGAACTCCATGGATATAAGGTTTGACAGAAAACGGATTCATCTGTCATAACCTCTTCAAACCTAATAGAACAGAAATGAACGCTAACAACATTTCTACAACCGATTTTCCATTAATCTCAACATTGATCGAATAATTCACTGTTCTCGTATATTGCGGACTTGGTTTACCTTGACGTCGCTTACAATGATGTCATACTCTTCTACCCAACATCTGCTTTCTTCACCTATGCAGTGCCTTTTCTTTTCGGAACCCGTTGGTTTTGGCTTCTTGCTGTTCGCGTTATCTTTACCCTTCCAAGTGGACGTTTTTTTCCTCAGAGAGCTTGTGACTTCCACTCACATCGCTTCCGATGACTCGTATAAGTGTTCCTCGTTCAACACGCCTTTCACGCCTTTCAAGCGCTAGTCGAACACCTCGAGCTGTTACGCTTTTCAAGTGGGTACTGTTCAACAATGTTACGATGGATACCAGCTTTCAACGAACCAGAACTGTCGTGCAGCTCCGCGATAGCGCGCCGGATCATTTCTAAGCATGGAAGGTGAGGTCGAGTGGTACCAGCCACCTTGGCGACCATCGTCAGGCCTGTTTGAACATGAGCAGCCATGCAGAAGTCAGTAGGGAGAATAAACTCGCTAACAACATTTACGAAGGTAGAAAAGAAAAGGCAAAACAAGACGACGGCCAGTAAAGACGCGCCCCATCAGTAGCAAAAAGGTACGACCAACGGAAATGAATATGGTGGCCATCATAGTGTTATAGGTTTTAGCATTACTGCCCAACCTATCCAGACGCCATCTCTCCAGTGTCGGGAAATCGGCACCAGACTTGTCTGGTGGCAAGCAAGGTCACTCCCTCGATCCGAAGTGGGAATTCCTTTGCACAGTTATAGTAGAATTCTAGGGAGAATCGACTCGGCCAGTATTCAGTGACACTCAGAACGAAGACGGGAAATCCGAAGCAGCAGCCGAACTGACACCCGAGAAATTTCGAAGACTCTCGTGGATGGTGGATGCCAGGAAACGAATCGAATGCAGAAAGTTCTGGGATCCGCACAGGGTGATACATGCAATGTACGGCCATATCACAAGGAAAATAATATTTTTCGAATGTAGGAATCCCAGTGTGGAGTTCCAGACCATAGTGGAGATGGACATGAGGTTTAGTGAAGCCTTGGCTCCTAAGAAATAACGCATCCATAGGAAGATAGAACCTAACTTCATGGCACATCCACGGCGAGATCCAGGGATCCATGCGGAGGCTCGCGTTTTGCGCCAACATCTATTGACCCGCACCGAGTTTCGGAGAAGGCACACATGGCGTGCATCTTTTTATCGATCCAGGTTCCATCTCACGGAAATTCAAATTTAATGAGCATGGGAGTTTTACAGTTTACTGAATCTCTTTTTGATCTTATATACTTTTTTCGTCGTCCTTTTTCCTTTTTCTCATCCTTTTTTCTGGAGGTTCTGGAAGCAGCCGTTTCCTTAGTGTCTTAGTGTTCCATATCCAGGGATATCGTGTTTTTTCATTCACTATAGATAGCTAGCTAGTTGATTTTATATTCTGCATAGTTTCAAATATCTACTGACTTGACGGTGGATTTTTTTGGTTTTGAAGTTTTATAAAATTTGTATCAGGTTGTCTAGAGGGTCCCATTGGCAGACCTTGATCCATGGAATTTGATGATAAAAGTTCTTCTAAATCTATCATTTTACGATATTTCAGTTGTAGCATAACGACTACCGTGATCGTTGGATTTGGTGGTTGCTTCTAGGATGTCAAGAACTAGTCATACTAGAGAAGGTTCTGTTCATTATGCTAAATTTACCACCTGGTCTATTTGGAGGGAATAAAAGGGATTTATTTGTTACTCCAGAAGCAGAAGCTTACGCCAATGAACTAAACAGGAAGAGGATTCTTCAGAATGATAATGACACGGAAAATACTGAGAATGGTGCTGGGAAAGTAGCTTTCGGAGCAGCAGGACACTTCGATACGGTGAACGAGTGTTTCTTTTTTTAAATCTCATTCTGTCATTTTTTATCTTACGTGTTTAAATTATATTTGCCTGGCAGTTCCATTTACTTCTAATTCCCAAGTCTATGTAAAAGTTCGATGCCTCCTTTTTTCTTATGAAGGTAGTGCCTATGAAAAATATGTAATTCAGGATGTTTATGGGAGTGTACGCGGTAACAGGAGTGGAAAGTATCTCGATTCAATCAATACAGCAGATGAGGATGATATTGATGAGGATACGGTTGTTCCAATGCCTAAAAAGGGTATCAATGCGCCAGCGAAATTTATCCATGAAGCTTCACATACAGGCGCCGACGTATGTTTCGTTTCGCTTTTTCGTTTTCAAATTCTGAGAAACAAATATGTCATCCTCACATTGTTTATATTCCATGAAGTGTAATTTGGGTTCTTTCTCCGGATATCCTTATTGTTTTGTAGGATCTCTGGATATCCTTTTTCTTTTGTAGGAACCTGATCCTTTTGCGGAGACTCGAACGAAGACTATAATCGAGCGACAATCTTCGAAATATGCTGAACGGGCTCGACATAGAGCAATCTCACCAGATCGGGTCGATGCGTTTAGTTAGTAGTTCAATGTTTAATCCACATCCTTTTGGTTTCTTATACCTCTGGAATAGGGGAAAATTTATAATAGGATCGATTGTTCTGTTAACCTACTTAAATAGCACTTCTTACGAAAAATCGTGTGGGCACGGGCACAGTTATTACTTTAATGTTACTTCTCTGATCAGACAATAATAGTTCTGCCAGGTTTTTCTCGGGTTATCACCACGGCAGATTGCTGGCCCTCGTCCATCGGAGAAAGGTTTTCCAGTTTAAGTCTAGATTACCGCAAAGATGGCAGTGATCCCCTGCATTGGTCCACTATTTGTTGGGCTTCCTGATTCTTCAATATTAGGAGGCTATGATGGTCTGATGAGTATCCCTGTACATTGCATTTCGGCGCCTAGGAGCATTCCATGTCACTATAGATTTCTTTTCTTTTTAGTTGATCAAACACCTGATCAAAGAGATCGTGGTTATGCGGAGATTATGAAGGAACAGCAGTATAAGGAGGAGAAAGGAAAGGTTAGCATTCTTTTTTTGTAATTGTGTTGCTTAGTAATTCATGTTGCCATTTAGGTTGAGAAAGAGCTCGCTGACCGACATAAAGCAGGCGAACTACCTACAGTTACTCAGCCGGAACGCAAAAAAGGAAGATGGGATGAAACTCCATCACACGAGGTTTTCGTCAACTTTTTAGAAACTCGTTCTTAATACGTTTTAATGTTTTCATCATAGCCTTAAAGAATTCATGTAGGTTCTTGGCGCTGGTTCAGCCACACCGTCGAATTCCACACCAGGTGGGGCTCCACGAAAGCGATTGGGGATTTCGAGCATCAGTGCGGATGTATGTTTGTGGTCGAATTTCTTTTTTCGCTTGAATAGCGTTTATACAGTATTTGTCTAGGCCGCCACTCCACATGTGGCTCGGTGGGAAGAAACACCAGCTCATGCCAATGCAACCGATGCTACGCCCTCTATCAACAGGTTTCTTGTAATCATTTGCAGTTTGACCCAGTCTGCTTTTTATTTCATGATTCTTATAATTTTGCTATATTGGAGAATCCGCTTTATACCGCAAATTTGTTTTGAGGTTCGATTCAACTCCATCAACTCAGACTCCAAGACGTAATCGCTGGGATGAAACACCTCGTGAAAGCGTACGTGATGCTGGGGGAATGACGCCCGGGTGGGGTATTGATACTCCGGCACGTGGTGCAACAGACGATGTCAAGGTAAGTTTTGAAAGCTGTTTTCAGCAATATACTATGCTCATTGTTTGGAATTTTTAAGGTAGAGGATACTCCTGCGTCGAAACGGCGTTCACGATGGGACCTAACCCCTTCGCAGACCCCAGCAGCTGGGTCAACAACTCCTCAAATTGGTGCGACCACACCTTCGTTCACGCCAAGCCATGGAAGTACTCCAGTAAGTTATTCTTACCTCTTGTGTTTTATCTTTTAAAGATTGACTAACTCTAGTTTAGGCTGGTGCACTGACACCAGGTGGGGCAACCCCCCTAGGAACTCCGGCGATGGGCATGAAAACACCTGCAGTTCCGATACCTATGACACCTGATCAAATGAAAAATTTTTTGTGGGAGAAAGAACTTGATGACAGAAATCGAGCCCTTAGCGATGAGGAGTTGGACGCACTATTTCCACCAGGGTACAAGGTAGGTTAAAGGAAATGTTGTAAAGCTGGTCGTGTATTGTGAATAGCGAAAAAAATGATGAATTTGGATAAGTCTTGTTATACACGTAAACCTTGATTTCAAGATTCTTCCTCCACCAGCTGGCTACATGCCTCTCCGAACTCCAACGCGCAAACTTATGGCCACACCTACTCCTCTTGGTGGTGCCATAGGTGGTGGATTCTTCATGCAGGGAACACCTGAGAGAGACGGGCTTGGTGATAGAGGTAAGGATTATAAGTCTTACCTATGTAGTTGGTATAACGTGGTGTTTTTTAATTTCCGAAATACATAGGTGTACCGTCATTTATATTTTGGCTTTTCTAAATAACGTTATCAATTTTAGGAGTTGGTGGCATTCTGGATACACAGCCGAAAAATCAGGATCTCCCACCACTAAAACCAGACGACATGCAGTACTTTGATAAACTCTTGATGGATGTCGATGAAAGTAAGTCTTCTCTTTTACCTTACAGCTTCGTTCTTATATTTGCTGTTTTTCAAAGATCCTAAAGTGAATACTGAAGTGCTGGCACCTTTTAACTTTAAATCAGCGTATGTTGGCTTAACGTGAATTTTACTAATTGCAATCAGACCAGACCAATACCTCCCAACGGTTTACCGCCTCATCGTGGTTGAGAGGTGTTCTTGGGTGTCGGACTGCGACGTACAGCGGAGGGATTCGTCTCCCCGGAGGGGTTTCCAAAACTGAGGAGTCTGGCGTTTCCATCAGGAAGCCTAGCTAAAAGTAAACCAATACGAGGATCCACGACCGTCCTGGTATCAAAGTAGCATGGTGGCAAATCTTCCTCTGATGCACAAGGGCTGAGAATGCTTGTCATGGTGACGACCTGGGGTAGACATTGGCCAGGCTATCCTCGAGATTCCAGGGAACCGCAATGGTTTAACTAGCAAATCTCCGAAAAATGGTGATTATACTGAGGCCCGCTCAACTAGTGAGGATGGACCGTTCAAGTATCAAGTAAGTAAGTTAATAATCGGACCAATAAGATGTACAATTCTTTACCTATAAGAGGTCTCTTCTAGATATTAAGACGATAGGGAAGAAAAGAGTTTGGACGAAATTGTGCGAGGAAAATGTGACTGAGATGATATTATTCGACGACAAAAAACGTTAAAGTCCTTTTCTAGGTACTTTAACCAAGGAGGAATTGAACGAGCGTGAAATTATGACTCATCTATTGAAAATCAAAAATGGCTTACCACCACAGAGGAAGAGCGGTTTGAGGAAGGTAACTTTTGTCGTTTTAGCTTGAGCTAGTGTGCTGACTGCTTTTAGACTATTACCAATAGTTTTTTTCTTTAATTATAGATTACTGAAAATGCGAGGAAGTATGGTGCTGGCCCATTATTCAATCAGATTCTTCCACTTCTAATGTCACCGTCACTTGAAGATCAGGAGCGTCATCTAATGGTTAAGGTGAGAGTTAATTGTTTCACGTAAACGAACAGCTGTGTTAAATTCAACGTAGGGAAGTATTATGAATGTCTAAATTGTCCCGGTATTAAGTAATTGCGTGGATCGGCAGGTATCTACATTCGGGTGGTTCTCACCACCCACTCACTTTTTAAAATATTGGAAAATTTTTGATAGAAAAGATCAATGAGCCTTTTTTATTCGTCTATGACTTTTCATGGATGGTTAACAAGTGAATTGTCCGATTTGAGAAACACTTGTTATTTTGTGCATTACTACTGGTGCCTGTTGATCCACGCAATGGGGATGGTTTGTTTCTCTGTCAAAACGATGTTCAAAGTTCCTCTTTGCACGTGCGCTTTTAGAGTGACGCGCAGAGCAGGGGGGAATCGTGGACGGTGATTCTCGCATGGTAAGTTGCGGTAAGTATTCTGTTTGATGTGCGAACTTGGGAGCGGCATATACACATCCATATAAAGTCTTTTTCTATTCACTTTACTTTTGTAACTGTAGCTTCAATTCGGTAGTATTGTGCCTATTTCGATTTGGGTTCAGAAGCTTAACTGAAAGTGTCGAGTTTGTACACTTTTTTGTTTATAGGTAATCGATCGTATACTCTACAAATTGGATGACTTGGTTCGTCCATACGTCCATAAAATTCTTGTGGTGATTGAGCCTCTTCTAATTGATGAAGATTATTATGCTAGAGTTGAAGGTGTGGAATTTTTTTTGTGTCCCCGTTTCCAGCTTTTCTACGTTGCTTTTCTCATGTGAGGTAGTTATAAATAATTTTATGCCTATTGATATCTACATATTCTTCATGAAGTTCTGTAGCTTCATCTTGTAGGTCGTGAAATCATATCCAACCTTGCAAAGGCAGCAGGATTAGCAACGATGATATCTACGATGAGACCCGATATTGACAATGTGGATGAGTGAGTTTTTTGATTTGGAAACTGCCGAATGCACGATGTTTCCATGCCAGGAATTCTAAATAAAGGTGATTTGCTTATTTCCAGATATGTTCGAAACACAACTGCTCGAGCTTTTGCTGTGGTTGCGTCTGCTCTGGGTATACCTGCTCTACTTCCTTTTTTGAAAGCGGTCTGTAAGAGTAGGAAAAGTTGGCAAGCACGACACACTGGTAGGATAACCGAGTGTTATAATCTGGAAAGTCCTATGAAACCAGTTTTCGTTCATATTTAGGTATAAAAATTGTTCAACAAATGGCCATCCTCATGGGCTGTGCCGTTCTTCCTCATCTCAAAGCTCTAGTTGAAATTGTTGAAGGTGGATTGGAAGATGAACAGCAGAAGGTAATATAGCTTTTATATAGGTAGATAGAGAGAATAATGTTGAGGTTTTACACACTTTTAGGTACGCACCATTACTGCTTTGTGTCTTGCCGCTTTAGCTGAAGCCGCTACACCATATGGTATTGAAGCATTTGACTCTGTGTTGAAACCATTGTGGAAGGTTTGTTCTTTCCCCTTTTTTATTCTATTTTTCGTCGCCTTATGACGATTTTTAGATCAAGTGTATTTGATCGCTTTCGTAAATGCAAGGTTTCAGGGTATTCGAATGCATAGAGGCAAAGGTCTAGCTGCTTTTCTTAAAGCTATTGGGTACCTTATACCTCTTATGGATGCTGAATACGCTTCATATTACACGAAGGAAGTCATGCTAATCCTCATAAGAGAATTTGCTTCACCTGATGAAGAGATGAAGAAAATTGTGCTTAAGGTAACGTTAATTTTGCCTGTCAATTGTTTGAGTTCTTGTTAATGGTGCTATATCTCAAACATAGCTTCTTAGGTAGTGAAACAGTGTTGTGCAACAGATGGTGTGGAAGCGCCATATATTCGTGACGAGATCTTACCGCACTTTTTCAAGGCGTTTTGGACGCAACGTATGGCGATGGATAGGAGGAACTATAGGTAGGGATTTCATAATGTGAGGTATATATCATCAGAGAGAGAGAGAGAGAGAGAGAGAGAGGGGAGGGAAACTTATTAAAACAAAGTGGTCTAGTTTTGGACGATAAAAGAAAAGTAAAGAGGTTAAATTTTATATCAAAGGTATGGAATTCTCAGTCCCGCTGGCCATTGATTCATGCAACATCAACAGTTGACATTGCAGGCAACTCGTGGACACAACTGTTGAGATGGCTCAGAAAGTGGGAAGTGCAGAAATGATAGCGAGAATTGTTGACGACTTGAAGGACGAAAATGAGCAATATAGGTACATTTGTGGGGTCTTAAGTTGTGACTTTCTTCTCCTTTGCTTCTTATACTAATGGCTGATTGCACGATTTTAGGAAAATGGTTATGGAGACCGTTGAAAATATTGTTGCCTTGCAAGGTGCCAACGAAATTGATTCACGTTTGGAAGAGCAACTAATCGATGGTGAGGTTGTACCTTGAGTTTTTTTTTTGAGGCTCAGGATTTTTTGTTATGAACATCTCCGAGCGCATATGCCGCAGTGGTTAGAGGTGCCCTGCAATGCACACTCAGTCGTAGGTTCGATCCCGCGCCTCATGTTCACCAAGCCGTCTATTCCTCCAAGATCGGCAGATTGGTTCCAAACTTGTCTGGGAGGATAATAATGCTGGCTTGAAACGTTGGTAGGCCAGGTATGCAATCGGTCACCATTAACGATTCTTGATGAAGCTGAATGCATGGCGCATCCCATAGAAATTCATCAATGCTGAGAACTTTCAACTTCTATCCTTTAATAAACGTCTCTAACCAGTTCCTTGTCCTTCTGTGACCCAGTTTAACAAGCCCTACGATAAGTATTATTTTAAAAAATCTTACGATAGGTAGTGTAATATCGCATTTGTAAGTGCTACAATCTACTTTCTTCTTGTTTTAACCGTTTTGTCATTCTAAGGTATCCTGTACGCTTTCCAAGAACAAACGCAGGAGGATGCTGTTATGCTCGACGGTTTTGGTACTGTGTGCAAAGGACTAGGGAGGTCTGTTAGTGTCTTCATTGGTCTTTTCTATACTTGCTTTCAGTTTGAGTATTATATTTTAGACGCACTAAGCCGTACCTACCCCAAATTTGTGGTACTATCCTCTGGCGCCTGAATAATAAGTCAGCGAAAGTTCGACAACAAGCTGCTGATTTGGTAAGTTCGTGCAATGTTTGTAATATCTGTGTTATCCGTAGCTATTCATATGATGACGAAGGTGCCTTTGGATTAACTGCTTTGCAGATTGCCCGAGTTGCTCCAGTAATGCATATATGTGAAGAAGAAAAACTTATGGGCCATTTGGGAGTTGTACTTTACGAGTACCTTGGAGAAGAGTATCCTGAAGTTAGTTTAAAAAGCCGAAATTTGAAAAATGACGCGTTTTGTTTTCTGAGCAGTGCGAAATAGGTTCTCGGATCGATCCTTGGTGCGTTGAAGTCAATCTGCAATGTGATTGGGATGACGAAAATGACACCCCCAATTAAGGATCTTTTGCCTCGGTAAGCCAATATCATTAATGGTCATGTTTTGATGCTTTTGGATATCCTGCCTTCTGCTTACGTGTTAGTGTTCTAGATAATATCTGGTACAGTACATTTGAAGAATGCTAATACATCACTTTGCTTTTCCAGTAGTAACCACCATAAATGTTTGGCACTTAACTTATTAAAAAAGAATTTGTCTAGAATCAATGTCCGAGGTAGCCTGGCAAATATTGAAGCACAAAACCGTCTTCAATTTTAAAATAGATTATTTAATCAACTAGAGTGTTTACTTTGTGTTAAATACAATGACGAATGTGGTCCCCAATTTTTTATAAAGCTCTCGTTTTGTTTCATTATCTCGTACATTTTATATTTATACATAGCTGTTTAGAATTTTTAACTACTTATTTTTCAAAATTTAGGTTAACACCGATTCTTAAGAATCGCCACGAAAAAGTACAGGAAAACTGTATCGACCTGGTAGGAGCCATTGCTGATCGTGGATCGGAATTTGTGTCAGCTCGTGAATGGATGCGTATTTGTTTTGAACTGCTTGAGTTGTTAAAAGCTCATAAGAAAAGCATTCGTAGAGCAGCAATCAATACTTTTGGATTTATTGCCAAGGTATTAATCTAATTTCGATTAAAAAAGGAAATCGATTTCATTAGCTTCAGATTTCCATTTCTGTATTTTAGGCCATTGGTCCTCACGACGTTCTTGCCACGCTCTTGAATAATTTGAAAGTACAAGAACGTCAGCTGCGTGTATGTACCACTGTTGCGATCGCAATCGTAGCAGAAACTTGTGCGCCATTCACCGTACTGCCAGCTATCATGAATGAATATCGAGTTCCCGAAATGAATGTGCAGAACGGAGTGCTGAAAGCGCTTTCATTCATGTTCGAAGTTAGTTCACCTTTGTTAATTCAGTTTATACTGGATCTTTTACTATGATGTAATTTAGTGAGACTACATATTTCTTTCATTGGTTCTGTTTTTGTGGGTCTCTCTCTTAAGTGTAACTAGAAATGAACCAATGTGTGGAGTCATCATCGTCCTAGTGGAAACGATGTTATAAACTGAAAAATATTCCGTTGATCCACCAACTAACAGTGGACTTTTGATGCTGACGTGAGAAAACCTTGCGCTTCGTCCATCTTGACATACTAGGCAAAGAAAGATCTTCGCAGACCGACCAGTTATCATTCATTTTGAAATTATGCTGAGTTCACACATTTTTTCGCCATGACGCCTTTTCATGTCTGAGAATCCTATTCCGTAGAGAACACCAAAATCAAAACTTTGGACGGTGGGTAATATATTCTGTGACCATATGTCTTGGTTTTTTTCAGATTTTAACATAACTTTTCTATCGTATTGTGTCCACTACATTCAGCTTCAGAGTCGTGTATACCTGCTGACCGCAGAATTATTTTTATATGGAAGTGAAGCGTGAAAATGCTTCTTTTCTTAGTTGCAACAACCAACTCTTGTTATTAGAAGTAAAACGTTTGCTGAAGCACTATGTTGTGCTTCCCAGGAGTACATTCTGTTGTTTGTTCCGAATTTTAATATGGCAAATTGGCTTCCCATTTGTTTTCAGTATATCGGAGAAATGGCAAAAGATTATATCTATGCAGTGACACCGCTTTTGGTTGATGCTATGATGGAGCGGGATCAAGTGCATAGACAAATTGCTATTGACGCAGTTGCACACCTTTCTCTAGGTGAGTCCGAAGAGACGAATTTGATTTCTTACGACCTCTTTAAGTATAACGTCTACTCAAGAATTGTATAGGTGTGTATGGGTTTGGATGTGAGGACGCTTTGTTACATTTGCTTAACTATGTTTGGCCCAACATGTTGGAGAACTCACCACATCTTATTCAACGCTACATTTTCGCTTGCGAAGGGATGCGAGTGTCATTAGGGCCTATTAAGGTTTGCTTCTTCTCACTACATTGATAAGACTGTTTTTATTTCGAACTTAAAATTATGACGTAGTTATATCAGTTCGGCTATTTGTCTTTTTTTGGGTTTAGCATATAGCAAGGGAAATTTTGTATGGGAATTAATGAACTCGGTGATTAAAGGCTAGGACCGATTGCATTTCATCTTTTGGTGTAATGGATTTCCTTCGTTTTAGATCACTCAGTATCTGTAGATTATTGATAGTGCGCGCAACAACTTCAGTTTTTGAAAAACTCGTAGTAGAGGGTATCTACATTGCTGAACAGTAGCGTATAGTAGTTCAAAGATGATAATGGGCTCGTGTAGCGCAGTGTTCGGAGGCGCCATGCAGCACACATGGGTTTGACCCTTGCGCTCTAGGTTCACCAAAGCTTCCATCTCTTCGGATCGGCAAATTGGTACCAAACTTCTCTAGCAGGTTAGCAGCACTGGCTGGATACATCGGTAGGCTACAGCGAGTCATTGTAAATGCCAGATATGCATCCACTCACCTTCAACGAAAAGTCGAATGCTTGGCGCATCCCTCAGGGATTGATCAACACGGAGAGCTTTGTTCTTTTTCATTTATCATCATTGGTGTTTACATCATTTAGTAAAACGTTAAATCGTATGTTAGGTAAACAGGAATACTAAAATAAATCAAGAGGTAAAATAAAGTCAAAAATGAACTAAAGATAATAAAAATGTGCGCAAAGTGAAATGAAGTAAGTAATAGGTAAAGGTGGAATGCCGTACGCATTACCGAAACTGTTAAAATTTTTGGCCCTTAGTAGATTTGTAAGTGTTATAATTCCATTTAATGGCCTCACTTTATCTACTTGTTATATGTTTGTTCTATAAAGTGCAGAAACAATTTGTTTTGCTTATCGTATTCGAAGAAGTACGGCTGGGTTTCTTTTTCTTTCAGGTGTTGCAGTATTGCTTGCAAGCTCTTTGGCATCCAGCAAGAAAAGTCAGGGAACCTGTTTGGAAGGTTAGCTCATGTGGTACTATGTTACGGTTTTTATGTTCATTCGTTTGAAGTGGGTATCTCAGTTAGTTACTATACCAGTAAAGATCTGCACCTAATTTCACGCACAGTTGGTACCTAATTTTTTTTTAGAATCACAATAGAATGTAGTATGAATAGTACTAGCTTTTGCAACCTGATCATTCTATACATAGGGATCATGTATGTCCACTTCATTACAAACAGTTTTCGTGCCACCGTATTGATAGAAAATCTTGCTCCTTGGCTCAGGAGAGACTTTGCTATCTTAGTAGCTTCTCGTCTGTCTTACGCTTGTTTTCATTTCACTACCGACAGTCTCTATCAGTACTATAAAATGAGGGTGGATAGTGCGGAGATTGTGATGCTGTCCATCACGAGCACGTTAGTGGTTCAATCCCGTCCCATTGCTCACCGAGCTCCTCATCTCTACGAGGTTGAGAAATTGATACAAGGCCAGTTTGGGGACGGCTCGCTTCCTATAGTCTAAGTACGAGCGCTCTAACCTAGTTAGTCCAAGGTCGAAGCGAGAATCGACTCGATCAGCATTCAGCGACATTCACAGAGAAAAAGGTAGCCCTCAAGTAGCGTAGCAGCGGAACCCACGCGCAGAGAAAGTTCGGGAATCGAATGCAAGAAGTGCTGGAATCCACACAGTAATTATAAAAACGGGCTGGTTTATAAAAAGTGCAGAACTTCTTTGCTCTGCTTCCTGATTTACTGAATTTCCCAATTTGTCTAGATATCGGTTGGGTTCAAAAAAGTTAGAAGAGAAACTCATTGCGATCGAAAAGAAAATATGTTATTTTTTTATGTCCCATCGTATAAATAGAAATCAGCTTACGTCGGAATCTGTGTTAACCAACGAGTTTGTGGAATTGCTGTATTACTAAGCTAGTCAAAAATATTTGTTTTATTTTATTATGCTTTCTTTAATTTCAACTCTTCTTAGGTTTATAATAATTTGGTGCTCGGCTCTCAAGACGCTCTTATTGCTGGATATCCACGAATTGAAGATACTGAAAAGCACACTTTTGTACGATATGAGTTGGATTACACTCTTTGATTTTTTGTTGTGTTAGAGCTGTTAACCATATTTTTGGTTTCTAATGTCATTTTTAAAGACGTTACAATGAGTTGATATTGCCGCTGTACTTTGTTGTCGTTCATTGTTTTTTAAATATCAATAAGCAGGAAAACAAGGTTATGAGTAGCATGCTGGTCCTTGTTTATTTGCAGTCTGTGCATCGCCGTCAATTCGTAGCTTCAAGTTCTGACCAGTATGGAATTTTTCCTCGACTTAATGTCCTGTTAACTGAAGTTTCTCTATGTATTTTTCGATTATCGACTGTTTCCAATGATCCTCAATGCTCTTGATGTCATTAGGTAACATCTGAAAGCAAAATGAAGTAAGAAAATTGTATTCACATAGTCGGTCTTTGGCCTGTTGCACTCAGTTTTAAGTACTATATTCCTTACTGTAAGGTAATTGGTTATCATTTTGCACCATGGATGAACTTTCTGCAAGGTTTTTTTCGTGTTGTATAGATGTTTTGGTACTTAGAGTCCTTGAATAATACTTTATCATTGGAATGTGCTGCCAACAAAACTATCATCAGACTAAACTCATATAAACCATGAGGAGCTATGCTACGTGGATAGGAGCTCAGAACGTCAGGCGTTTCATTTTTGTTTAAACTCTTTAGGGTGTAAACTTCCAAGTGAAACGACATCATGAAGGGTTCTATTCGTTGAGCTGGATCTGCTAACTTTTTCTTTTCGGTAGTTTCTCTGCAAAGGTAATGTTAACTGTTTTTAAGTATCCATCTCAGTATGTTGGAAGTTGCAGTACGATGTAATGTGCTCGGACGAAGTAGTGCCCGATGAGAATCCAACGCAAGTTAAGGCGCGAGTCGACCTTCACACCACGGACCAGTGTCGATGCATACGTGAAGCGGTATTTCCATTATAACCTGTGATTCCTAGTTTCTCATATTGTGAAGATATGGTGGCTATAATGATACTGAGACATTTATAAAAAGAGCGAAACGAAGGACTTGCTTGGTGTGGTGGTGAATGCGTTAGCTCACGGAAAGGGAAATAGCGCGTTCGTTCCCCACCGCAGACACCTGCGGTCCGAAGTTTTGCAAATATCTCAGCGTCGTTGTGGTTATAATTTACATAACACTCTGTCGCGAGAAGCTGTACTAGGCACTTAGCAAAAAGTTAACGTTATGACTACTATTTTATGAAGGATTTGCCTATTGTTAATAGAGGCGAGTCTTCATAAGAGTGGGCAGACAGAGTACGTGAGTGCACAAGCCTGCTAAACAAATTTACTCGCTGCATGATATTACCTCCAAACTCTACGCCCTTGCGAACTTAGTGAATTGGGAGTGGGGCTGGCCAAGTATAGAACCCAATAGAAACAATAACAATGTTGTGCATTTCATGTAGATATGAGACATTGTGATTCGTCCACTTCACTTTGGTTTGTGAAGGTCAAAATTCACCTCCCAAGAAGCGTTGTTTTACAGTTTTATACGCATAGAATTGTTCACCAGTGAAGAAATGAACGAAGGGACCATTTGGTACTATTGCACATTCTATGAGTGTACTGGATTGTTTTATCGCAAGCTGTTTTGTTTCTGAGATATCTGCAAAACTCCGGATCGCAGGTGTATGCGGTGGGGAACGAACGCGCTACCGTCCTTTCCGGGGAGAAACGCGTTCACCACCACACCATGCAGGCCCTACGTTTCGCCTGACTCTGGCAAAAGATCGATAGAACTAGCTGAGGGACAGGCGAAACGAATGGCCTGCATGGTGTGGTGGTGAACGCGTTTCTCCCCGGAAAGGACAGTAGCGCGTTCGTTCTCCACCGCAGACACCTACGGTCTGGAGTTTTGCAAATATCTCAGCATTGTAGCAGTTATATTTCGCAAAATACCCTGCCGTTAAAAAGAATAGGCAGTAAATAAAAAGGTTAAGGTTGAAAATATACTTTTTTAAATTTGTTTTTGTGCAGTCCTTTTGGAATGATTCATTGTTGCAGTTTTCTTTTTTCATGGAAATATAGGCTGTCGTTTTCATATTCAGAAATCGAAGGGATATATATGTCACAAAAATCACAGTGTTATCGTGGTGAGTCCTATTATTTTTCTCTATTAGAATTGATTTGGAGGTTATTTTTTAGGTGGGAAGCGGCGAAATAGCTAAACTATTTTCGCCCGGATCCTTCTTCAGTATAGAAACAAATGATAAGGCACGTACGCAAATCGTCATAAGAGTGGACGAGTTTATTGAAAAAGAACTCAAAGTAGGGAAATTTTACGAATATAATTCGTCCTTTGGTATCGATATTTCTCAAGCAATTTATTAAGGAAGTAGTGATTTCACTGGAACGTTCCTTACTTGGTGAAACTCTTTCGAAAACATTCACGTCGACAGGTGGCGTGTCTGTGATTGCAGAGAAGAAGAGGGTTGAAGAAGTAAGTGGTTCGGAAATTTGGGATAGAGTTCTAATGGGATAGAGTAAGCCACTACGAGTAATTCAAGAGCTTAGGAAAATATCGAGGTGAAGGTGCTCAACGCTTTCTTTTTCCAAATGTGCGATTCTGTTTTTTCCCCATTTAAGGTTACCTTGGATAATATTCAACTTACTTTCAAGGAATTGTATATGAGTAGAGCCGACATGTGGCGGTATCGCTCAAAGTTAATAAACACATGTGCCTATCTTGACAAGCAGGTGAGTAGTTGAACGCGCTTTTGAACTGAAGTTAGAGTTGCCTCGACCCTTGTTAAAAGAAGGGTATTGAAAATAAAGTTATAACAACATTAGTAACAATCATGCCACACAACCTAGGCTACAGTGGAATAGAGATGGACTAAATTTGATTTAGCGTTTCTTTAATTATCAGTAGAACGGACAAAACGTTCTCAGACAAAGGGGTATCACCTCCGTACTTGAAAAAAAAAAAGAACAATAAGGAGTAACACTTCATAAAGATATTGATCGCAACAGAAACTATGAACAATATCCGAATTTTTTTATTTCTCGGAAACTTATTTATCTGTTTAATTTTATTTGTGCAGCAGTCTTGATAGAAGTCTTGTATAGCTAATCATCATGGGTCCTTCAATGAAATTTAAAATGTGGGACTAGCTTCCTGTTTAAGTTTTAGAATTGTATTACTAAAGGCACCTATAGTCAAAGGAATGGAAGTTATACAGGAAACAAATTCGTTGAACTTGGAATGTTCAGCTTCGACACTTCAACATTAGCACAAAAATTTCCGATATTTGGCAAAAAGGGAACGTCGTTCGTAGCGGTTTCGTCTCTTCAGATACACGGGTCGTATTCCGTTCCAGTAGCAGTTCGGTAAGCTGCTAGACTTTCCTAATTACATACTGCATAATTATAACATAAATGCATTATATTTCCGTCTTGTATTCCTCATTCTCTGTGTTGCTACTCACTTGGATAATTGGGTTGCTTGTATTCGGTGGTTGTGCAGGCCCCAGCATAATTTCCACTTTTTCGGAGTCTTCCTTGTTTAGCTAATTTGGTTCCTCGCAGTTCTGAGGTTGGCCTTCTCAAACTCTGCCCCAGGTCGTCTTCACCACAGGCTGTATCCGCCGCTGTGGATCAGAGGGAGATTTGCCACCATACGACTACTTTGATACCAGGACGGTGGTGGATCCTGGTATTGCTTTACTCTCAACTTGGCTTCCTGATGGAAACGTCGGAGTCCTCAGCTGGAGAACCGTTGCTGGGAGGATGAATCCCTCCTCTTTACCTTGCAGACTGACACCAAGGAACGCCTCGCAGCCACGATGAGGCGGTAAACCGTTGAGAGGGTCTGTGTTGTTATATTTTATAAATAAAAAACAACATAATTTAATCATGCACGCTTGCTGTTTTTGTTGTTTTGAAACGTGACGTACTTGCTTGACATTATTTAGGTTCTGATATACATTCAAATGAGCTCAGAAATGTGGCAACTCGACCCTCAAGGCGACTTGTACTTTGAGAAGTGTGTGAAGGGTTGGTTATATATTTAATGCGAAATTGTTTTTGTTATAAATTAGACCACTTTTTCATCTACAGGTGTCATTTTTATTGTAATGTAAGTATCCATTGTTCTGACCAAATATTCTGCTATCTTAGTAATATCGACTGAGCCTTTTCTAGTTAGTACGTAATCAGAGGTGTACCACCCTGGTAGTAATTTATATGTGGGGCACAGACACAGTGGACCGTGTACATTTGCTTGGTTTTTTTTATTTTTAGTTGTTGTTTCATCGCGTAGAACTTTTAAGCTGGTTTTTGTGTTTAATCGATAACTTATCCAATAGTGGTGAGGCGGATAGCATACCGATGTACCGGTCATCATGAGCCCGGTGCTGGTTCGTTTCCGTTCCGAGCTCAGCATGCCAGTCATGCCACTTGGGTCGGCAAATAGGTACCAGACTTGTCCGGAAAAATTATACTCTCTGCAATCCATTTGAGAAACTTCTAGCCCAGCTATCCCAGGACTCTATGGGAAATCGATTCGATGAGCATTCTACGATATTCAAGATGAAACGGAAATCCTGAAGCAGCACCCGAAGCCACACGTAGAAGTTCGAAGACCTTAGTGGATGATGGATGTGAGGAAACGAATAGAACTCAAAAAGTGCTGGAATCCGCACAATTGATATGAAGACGGGTCATAAAAAACGTTTTTTTTTATTTTTTGAGAAAATGAAAGAGGAAAACTTATCAGACAGAGATAGTGTGTTCTGTGGGAAGTTGTGCTCCACACCTATAAATTTACGAAAAACCCATAGCACGTACCTCGAAGATCGATACTTAGGGACACTTTCCTGATGGAAGAAAGGGTAAATCATCGACAAAACTTGTGTAGAGGTGTCTGCCTTATGTTGGAAAACTGTACAAGTTTACATGGTGCTGAACAGATGTCGTTTCCTCTATTCATCTTTTGTCAATATCTTCTACTCTCTCTCTCTCTCTCTATATATATATATATATATATATATATATATGTACATATATATATGTACATATATATATATATATGTACATATATATATGTACATATATATATATATATGTACATATATATATGTACATGCACGTATGTGTATATATATACATATATATGTATATATATATATGCCACCCGAAAACATTCCATAGAAACGTGTTGGTTTATTACATCCAATGAACATCACATCAAATTGCCAGTCATCGAAAATCCAGCCACCATGAAGCGAAACATTTGTGTTTCTACTCACCAATTGCACCTTCATCACCAAGCATCTCATCGTTATCATATTCGTCGTAATCCTTTGGTTCAATTTTTCAGAATCTGCAGAGAAACAAGAAGATCTTCGTTTTATGCATTGATTCCGAGACTTTTTTACTTTCTTGTGACCTCTAAAACCGTTAGAAGAAAGCTGAATTTGCCTTCCGCCAAAATGATTTAAGAGGCTGTGAAATTCAATTTTCGGCAAGAAGATTACTATTGTACGTTACGCGATTTCCAAAACCTCACCAGAGACTGACAAAAACATGATTTGGATGATAGACGATGAGCCTTTTTTCTCATCATACACAAAAGTTGCATATGTTCCAAAGACATGGAAAGAAGAAGAAAAGTTCGTAGATGCTGCACTAAACATGAAATGCAAATAAATTATGAAGGGCAAATTGGCGAAAAACGCAGAAAAAGAACACGGGGATTTTTGGGGCAAGGTGGAGTGCATGCTTTGCGTTAAATACACATGGCATGAAAAACTGTGCTTGGTCCCATATGGCAGTAACAGAGTTATGCGTGGAATCCGTGCTTTATAGCTGTTAACACGCGCTTTAAAAAAAAACTTTATGTAGGCTTTATGTCGGAGCTGTTCTCAAAGTGGTACACGAATTCGACTGCTCATTATGTGTCTATCATCTTATGTTCACGATTTTACCTACTAGGAGATATTGGGAAAGATGTGGAGGAGCAGCTGGGGACATCCCGCGATTATCGAGGGCGATACTATCAAGTAAGCCATTTGTGATCGTTTTCTCTTGTGAATTCTACTTCATGTGTTCCAACTTTATCAGAATTTTTGAGGAAGTTTTAGTTTCTAGGACTTTTACCGTCTACTAGTGCAAAATGAGCATTATGAAGATTGGACTCATATTCTGTCGACGGTAGGTTTTCTGAAAGTGATCAGTTTGCTTAAAGTAAAACTTTCGAAACATTGAATTACAGGTTTATATTGAGTTAATTTTTTAATTAACAGTTAAAATCTCTGTAAAATCTGAAGATCTTTCACTTCTTTGGGAGAATAGTTGGTTGGAGGACTTTGGGGTCTATTATTCAAACTCTTTTTAACTTACATTTTTAAGATAAAGTCGTCGTTCAACAAGTATCAGGATACCATTCAGGAAGTGCTAGCAACAAACTATCCGAGCCTAAAGTACTGTTTTATTTTGCTTTAACTAAATGGCTTATTCAAAAGGATGCAGAATCTTCGTCCATATTCCAATGAGATGTTTTGCAGAGGGCGATGGGAGATTTCAACAGCTGCAGATGGTAACTTTTTACAAGTGTTGAACATGAGCATGAATTCCTTCAGTGTTTACCATACTGACAGAAGATTTGAGACAACGGGACAACAGGTAGATGATTTACGTTTAAAACTTTTTCTTTTAATCTTCAATTATCTACCAGATTATATTTGTGACTCCTGGTGGTGGTGTTCTGAATGTTGATCGTGAGATGGTAAATATGACTAAGCAACGTATTATTGATATGGGTATATCTCTTGATATGGTTAGTTTCTCTTATAATTGTGAAGTATAAATGTCTTAGATTTGATTTCGTAATTCTTTAGGTCTGCTTAGGAGAGCAGCCTTTACACGCTGTGCCTTTGTTCGTATTCCATAATCGATGGGCATCCAGTCAACCCTTTGAGGACTACTTTATACCTCACTGGATGAATTATTCATACTATCGAATGAGCAAACGCAGTGCGATATCAATTAATTTTCGACCGCGTATTAATTTGCCAAATGTCATTTTGGTTAGTGTAGTTGTTGGATGTTCTGTTGCTACGTATTTACTAAACTGTAGTATGTAAATTTAGTAGACAGTGAGGGGTGGATAGCGCAGTAGTAGTGGTGCCGATCGTCACGAGCATGGTCCTCGCTCTACCCCACCTCGAACTCACTAGTCCTCTTCTCATCACTCCGGAGTCGGAAAATTGGTACCGGACTTGTCCTGGAAAATTCCACTGTCTGCAATCCAATTGGGAGCACTCTAAGTCGGCATTCTGAGGATTTGAGGGAGAATCGATTGGACCAGCATTATACGATATTCAAAGTGAAATGAAAATCCTCAAGCAACAGCCAAGCTTACACGTAAAATTTGGAAGACTTTAATGGTTGATGGGTTCGAAGAAAAGAATCGAATTTGAGAAGTGTCGGCATTGTATAGAGAAGTCTTGCTGTGGAGTTATTTGATACGGCTACAATGCTGCTGATTCCATTTAGTCTTCTCCGCGCACATTGGTGATGGATGGCGAATCCTTGCAACACTTGGATATGCATGCATACGACGTAGAAGCTTTTTCTAAACTTTTAACGCAAGCCAGGTGGGATGTCACACATATAGTTTCATAATAACACCATACACATTTTCTCAAATAGATGTTGGCAGGTTTGGAGAGAAAGGAAAAGGTCTGAATGCTGTGGACGAATTACGAAAAGAATTGGGATTACCATCCGTGCAGACTGATTTCACTCATGTGCCATATGAAAGAGTAAGCTATTTAGTAACCAGTTTAGCGCGTAAAATGTTTCTTAAACCGGAGACATTTTTCCTCTTAAAAGTTGGTTTTCATTAAACCTTGGTAATAGTAATCAACAACTTTGTGCATGATTGAGCTAATACGAAGTTACTATAAACTCTTATCTGGCTCACTTTTGGGCGTTTTCGCCTTCCTTACAGCTACGTTGATCCGAGTCGATGGCTCAATGCAGTTCTGAGGAAGGCGAAAGCGTGAAAACGTTAGCCGAATACCTCAGTTATTTAGAAAATTGTTGACCCTTTTCGTGGTTGTTCGGTTAATTATACTAGGTTTTCAAAAATAAATGGGCGTTTTAACTGTACTACTTAAAATGTCATAACTTGCTTCAAATGAAACTTTATTAATCAAAATAAAAACCATTGGAATTTACATATTTTTGCTAACGAGAAGCAGTTTCTTTACTCCATTTGCATAAAATTCTGGAGTTCTGGAAGTAGTGAATTCGTTGAAGACATTTTTGGCGTCATCGTGGTTGGTAAAGCGTTCGACACGCAAGAAGTTGTCAAAATGCTTGAAGAAGTAATCAGTAGGCGAGAGGTCTGATGAATACGGCACATAGGCAAAGTTGCGCAGCCAAACTCGTTCAACTTCTGCAGCGGCGGTTCCGCAACGTGAGGCCGGACGTCGTCGTTGAGAAGAATTGCTCCTTTTTTGTTGGCTAATATCGGTCGTTGTTTTTGTAGTTTACGGTGCATTTCGTCGATTTCTTGGCGGTACTTCTCCTCCGTAATCGTTTCACCCGGATTCAAAAAGCTGTGATGAATCAGCCCGGCTACACACCACCATACAATCACCATAACTTTTTTGGTGCAGCTTCGGCCTAGAGAAGTGCTGTGGAGCCTGACCGCAATCCAACCATTGAGCTGAACGTGGTCTGTTGTCGTACGGTATTCATTTTTCGTCGCATGCCACAAATCGATCAAGTAAAGGGTTGTTTTGTTGTGCAGATTAAGAGCAGACGACATTTCAAGACGGCGACTTTTTTGCTTATTTTTAATTCTTGCGAAACCGACTTGTCCAGTTTTTTGTTCCTTCCTATGCGATTCAAGTGAATGGAAATTGTACCTGTGCTTACGCCAAGTTGTTCTACAAGTTCTCGAAAAGTTGTTCGCGTATTTGCTTCCACTGGTGCCTTCAATTCGTTGTCGTCATGTTCATTGGGACATCCGCGGCCTTCCTTATTTTCGAGGTCGAAATCACCAGATCGGAATTTCCGGAACCATGTTCGCACTGTTGGTTCACCAACACGGCCTTCATCCCAATGTTCATTAATGTTTCGAGCCTTCTCTGCTGCACTGCGACGGAGTTTGAAATCATAAAAAAAAATTTTATGAAAATTCGTTTTTGGCACCTAAATTTGCAAAGCTCAAAATTTGTTAAAGAATTTTAGCTTTTGACAAAATATTGAAAGATTGGAAAGAACATAAGGTCAGCATTTTAATGATATTTAATATTGTAAGCTAAAAAGAGGATTTTATTGGGAAAAAATACATCAAAGCAATAAGTCTTTAAAAACACTCATTTATTTCTGAATAACCTAATACTTATCACTTAGGATAAAGGTGGTTACATATTACTTCCACATATTGAGTTGCTTGCTTTTTTTTCCTTTTTCTCTTTCCGTTTCACAAGCTTCAATGTTCCATCTACATGTATGTTTGAATACAAAAAAATAGTCGTCATAACGTTCCCTTGTTGCCAGTTTGTCTGCGGAAAGTGCTTTGCGTTTTCATATATGTTTTGAACACGTATAGAACGTCACTTGTCGTTATCCAGAGTCCATGATTCATCCATTTTTCGGTCCAGAGACGTATCCTTCTTGTTTCATAAAGGTGGTGTAATACAAACTTCTTAACAATCTCTTTGCTTCTCACTTCATTCTTATTTCATCCATTTGTCGAGTTTTTCTCTTCTGGTTTTCCATTGCAAATTTTGGCTATCAATACTGTCTTGTATAAGGTGAGTTCATCGCAACCTATCGAGCTGTTATATGTGGATGTACTTCAGTTAAGCTTTCAAAAAACCGCAGTGGATCGTTTCCAATACTCCATTCTATACCGCTCACATTTGTTTTTTTAGTTATTTCTATTATCTAGAAAAACATAGATTAAAAGAAAACCAGAAGATCCGTGAATTTGTTGGACTACGTGTTTGCTCTTCATATTCTTGAGCAAATACGAGGTGTTATTCTACTATTTATTGGGATGAAGCTAACGTTTCGGCGGATTTCGCCTTCTTCGGAGCGTGGAAATGTCATGTTGACCGCAATCTACCTAGCTAAAGACCTCTATAACCCAATAATACCTCGCGTATAGTAATAAGAATAACAAGAATATAAAGAATTGTCGTTCCCAAGACCGACTTTCTATTAACCTCGGTATTGGAATATGAATGCGTCGTTTTCTTGTACAGCAATCGCGAGGTTTTTAAACAGCATACATTTACTTCCATAGAAACACAATACAATACAACACTAGCTAACGTTTCGACAGTATCGTCTTCAGAGCCTGGAAGGGTATGCTGGTATACAATCTACTAAACGAAACTCTTCAATAACACTTACAAAAAGACGAAAAACTGTGAAAATTACATGTTCAGTAACTTCTCGAAGAACTCACCGCTTTTTCGTGACTTCGAATGAGGAAGTTTAGAACAGCTGATTATAGTCGCATGTGGTTGATGACTGCACCATCCCACATCAGAAATTGATGCGAACATACGGGGTCAGGTCGCGTATGACCTCCGGGCATTCGTCCCTGCTATTCATTGTAGGGTTTTCGGCATTTGTCCAGAAAACCTCAAGAAGTTTTCTCGCTGGTGTTTTAGTCTCCTGTGCAAAAATATTGACTTTTACATCAGAATTGTCTTCGCTATGCGTTTATATCCTATGCGTACCTAGTGAGGTACTTTGTCTTAGTTTTCGTTTTCTATCTAGGTGTTCTTTGTCCTCCTTACTACTTCGTTGCTCTTGAAAGCTCCCCAAGCCACTCGTTTCCTTTTGCTCAACTCTGGGGCTAAGTTGTTTAACATGTTGATTTCCCGACCTAGGTAGACATAACTGGTTTTATAAGCATCTTTTTCTATAAGCTCTATAAGTATCGTTTTACAGCTACAATTACTTCATCGCTTATAAAAGGCAACATAAACGAGACTTTCTTTTGGCCAAGTGTTTCGCTTTCGTAGCCATTGGAGATAGCTATTTCCCGAGCGAAGTAGCGCGATTCTTCCTTTCTGCAAACAGAGGTGGCTGTTCCAAACATGTTTCTCACAAGCGCCCACTTTGTCTGTTAAGGGTGTGAAAGAGGAAGTGAACCAGGATGTTTCTATTACTTGGCTTTTTGTACCACTTTGTCCTGTAACCGCTACTTGATAAATTGATTTGAACGTTAAGAAATGGAAGCCAGGTCTCTTTTGGTTTCTCTCGGGTGAATTTAATATACCCAGACTGCTCATTCAATAATTCACAGCATTTGTCCGTCTCCTCCTGAGTAGAGCAGATGACAAAACAATCATCTATATATCTGCAGTAGAGTAGCGGCCGGAGATCGATAACCGGGGCTTCTGTTTTAGATATGAACGCAATGGCGAGAGTTGGTGCCAACCGCTGTCCTATTGCCAGCCCTCTAATTTATGCGTAATAATTCCTAGACCATCTGAAAATCGGGCAGTTTAGGCTCTCTTTTAGAAGAACCATAAGCTGCTGAATAGACAAACCATGCATATATATTCCTCCTTCATGTTCGACAAGAAATTCGTGGATGGCTTACATTGCGTTCGATACGTTGGTGTAGAGCGAGGAAATATCGAAAGACTCCATCACGTACGCGTTGTTGTTAGGAAACGCGTTACGTAGAGGGTTCTAGGAACATTTGAGTGTTCGTGAGGTGAGCTGGAATATGGCTAAACAGTTGTGTAAGTAACTCCCACGACCGACTTTCTATTAACCTCGGCATTGATCAAGTAATTCTTCGTATTTTTGTTGAGCAAACGCGAGGTGTTATTATTCTTTATTCACGAATCAGCTGCGTTTCGGCGGATTTCGCCTTCCTCAGAGCCTGGAAAGGTCAAGTTGACAGCAATCTACTTGGCCAGACGCCTCCATAACCAAACAAAGAAACTCTAAACCAAGATTTCAATCACATTGAACACAGCTTTGGACACTCACCGCTTTCTATGAGGTCTCCACTAAGTATGTCACGTAGAGACCAACCGCACAGAAATCACATGGAAGTATAATGTGCCCCACTCATCAGAATAGCAGTCTTATATACTGCCCTACATCACGCGTGATAATGAGGCATTCTTCCCTGCGGTTCATTTTCGGATTTCTGGAATTAATCCAGAGTGCCTCGAGAGTTTTTCGCGCCTGTGTTCTTGATTCGCGTGCAAGGATCGTGACACATACTTCAAAGTCCTCCCCGTTATGTCTCTGGGTCCTATGCGTGCCTAGCGGAGTATTTGGTCTATGTTTGCCGGCTAGGTGTTCTTTTATGCGGACACAGAGGGGTCTGCCCGTTTCGCCAATGTATTCGTCACCGCACGTCTTACAGGAGATCAGATAAACTATACCCGAGCTCATGCAATCACCGTCTCTACCACTGGGGCAAATTGTGCAGTTTTGAGTTGCACATAGACGGTCATATAGGCGGTTACGAACTATCTGGCGCTTAAGATTACTCGGTGGTATTTCAACTACGCGTACCGAATTCTCTAAACTCGCCCTTCTTAAGCAGCGTTTTATACCTGTACTTATATCATTTGAGATAAAGGGTAGGATAAACGGGACCCTTCTATCGCTAGAGTTGTTGTCTGGAGGTCTACGATTTCCCCTACACCTATCCTGAGCTACAGTTTCGTAGCCATTAGAAATGGCTATTTGCCGTGCCAGTTTCGGGACTCCTCTCTCTTCGTCTTCACTTCTATTGAATATTTCTTTTTTAGCCTTATAGCGGAGTCGATCTTGAAGTCCATACAAGCTGCATGTGATTCTACGCACAGTTACTTTAGAAATGGGTTGTGATGGTGAAAAACTTGGACTCAATTCTAGTAGTGAGCGCGCGTTCTCAGGTGAGGTCATGCCTCCAAGTACGGTGACTCTAGATATTTTTGGTGCACTATCAGTCCTATTTTGACTATTATCAGAATCGTAAAGAATTTGTCTGCGGTTGTTTGGTGAAGCTGAGACATGTGAATTACTCAAAAGATTTTCGAATTTTCGTTGTAAGGTTACGGTTAAAGAATTGATTGATCATTGCCAAGGTTAATGGGAAGTCGGTGGTGGAAATTAAGTTCTTCTTTTTAATTCTGATAAGTGAGGACTCTTATTGTGATAGACTTTTCTTATTGTACCGTTTTTTCTTTGTTTTCATTCGTAATCACTACATAAACTTTTGCAGTCTTTATCAGCTCGTGTCGGACCAAGCTCATTGGATAACGCAGGATGTGTTCTAGGAATGCGAAATACGGTGGAGAGTGGATCATTCGAGCAAAAGCGTTTTGTTGGAGGTTAGAAATTAACGAAATAAGAGTGATTTTAGATGAATGATTGGTGTCAAGTAGAACATATTGGACGTGAAGTTCTTTCTGGGGTACATTTTGCTGTGCTGCTGTAGCCTACTGTATTTGTTCTATGTTATATCGCTTTAATGTGAGACCATTTCTGGGTGCCAATTTATCCATTTTTCATTCAAATAGGCATACTTTTAAGCTTGGCTAAATTTGAAACGTTGTAGGAACCTTATTCGAGGCTATTAATCGCTTAAGGCTAATAAATTCAGGTACCACAGGTTCTTATTCGCTTACTCATCCGAATAGCAGACGTGGTCCACCGTTCACGAACCAACGTGGTATTACCTCACAAGTTGAGACAATACCTCATCGTTCATTGATAAATCCTTTTCGACCGGATCAATTCTATGTACGGATCACAGCAAACCGACGTCGCTGGATCCATGTGTTTCCGGTCGATGAAATGGTACTGCAAGTCATTCAGTCAATAATCCTTTTCATATTTAATTGAATAGGCGTCCAATGGAATGTATATAAGTAAATATGTGTTGGAGTATTAGTAGTAGATTAACAGGTAAGGATAAAGTGTTTCCCTGTGATCCGTCTCTAGCTCATGTATTTGACACTCTATTAAGTATCGTAGAGATAATAGAATGGAATTTTCCTTATAGAGTGACTTTTGGTGCTCTGTCGATAATACCAAGTCAATGCTTCTTATCCTTTGAGACAGGCTAGGTAAAGTTTGCCTACACTAGAGAGACGCAAAGGTTAAATAGATCAAGGCTTTCAATAGGGCTAAAGGTTGTGTGCATCGCATGGCATCTTTAACAACTCCGCTACGCACGCACAATAGTTTGTAGGGAGCTCATGCTCAGTACAAGTTTATGTTAATACGACATTTGAGACGTATACGACGAATTCTTAGTATCTGTTTAGAATCTTAGTATCTTAACGTAGTGCTTTGTTAGTAGAAATCTCTCCATGGGACTCTGTAGGCAAAACACAACCAAAGGAACAGCCTAGTCTGAAACACCGCAATTTATAGTGCTTAGCCAATAGCTTTGTTGACCAGTGACTGGTTCTGTATGTCTGTTTGGACGTTGCTGAGTGAATACCAAAGTAGTGATAAAGCAGTGTGCGGCAAAAAAGCTGTGAAGAAAATGAGTGATATATAACTCGTAGGGAGGGAACTGCTTAAGTGCATATGAGTCCCGTAAGTTGTCATTCAAAATGTTTTAAATGCGTCTTGATCACAAACATGGTTGTTAGTTCACGCTTATTTAAGGGTCGGTCAAAACTGGCTCATCATTATGTGGATGGAACTAGCACAGTGCATATAAATATGATGGATGAGGCACCGCCACTTGAAAGTGAGGTTGAAAAGAAAGCGAGGGAAAACGGTTAGTTGTGTTGCCTCCTCTACAAGATAACGCTTTTTTTAATGACCTTTCGGTGTAAAATCGATGTACAAGGGTGAAGCTTTTGTTTCCTCCTCTTCTGTCCTTCATGAATTACTACGTTGGCTAGTTTAGTTTCTTTCACGCATTTATAAATGAAAAAATTGAACTAATCCCACATCTCATTGGGAGTGTTAAACGCTAAAGACATTGCCCTTTTATTCTTAATCTATTTCGTAGTGCTTTCGAGTACTGTAAATATAGGTGTCTCTGGGTCACCTTCACGTCGTAATGATCGCCCAGAATCTCCACAAATTTGTACTGTGATGCCCTCTGAAAGTACGACCAGCACGGCTACTATTAATATGAAGGTTTGCCAGCGTTTTAAACTTTTGATTTTCCCACTTGGCTTTTTTGTTTTTATTCTTTTTTTTACTTTTTTGTCCTGCATAACTCAAATCGATAGTAAAAGTTGTGTTATCGTTCTAGAATGATGACTTCACTCCAGTTCGTCGAGTTGCTGAAACTAAGAAAGGTCAGACACGTGTATGGGCTTGGGGTTCAACAGGAGAAGAGAAATGGAATCCGGACATGGAAATTGGAATGGATTGGAAGTCACTTGTTAGGTGAATACTAGAACCATACCATTTTCTTAATCCTTCTAATAATATGCCATTGATACTTTTGATTTAATCTCATTTGTATCAGGTCCGCTTTGCTTCCCATCACAACCGATTATTTTCCTGACAGGCTTACACTTATAAGTGACTATCTGTATACAGAACATCAAATATCTGTTGTCCATGAGCACGTGAGCTTTTTCGTCTCTCTTTTATAAAGCACTAGAGTTACGCAGATAAGTGACCAGAGACAAAGTTCTGTACATTCTAGGGATCGCGTGTAAAAATGGATATTAATCAGCTATCACGACTAGTTTTCGACCAGTTGATCTGTCAACGACTTCAGCGAGGATTTCAGATTATTTTAATGTCAAAGCCATTGATCCATGTATGATTCAACTTTTTACGATTTGTTAAAAGAACTCCGTGCTCTCTTCCTTAAGAGGGATGATGGGCAAGTAATACCTTCTTGGATTGCTAAGCTAAAATACTAGGTGTTGGTTAAGGTTGGCTTGAACCGTTTAATGTGAAAGTGGCCAAAGAAAATTGCAACCGTTCTCTTTACCGTGTGGATTACCATTTTTTTTTGAATTTTCTAAGGTGTTGTTTTAATTCATTGGAAATTACTTTGTGCCTTTACAGGTAGCTATCAAGCAAAGTTTATTTGCTCCTGTTACTACAGAACATACGGAATGCAGTATGTCTTTTGGTAAGGTATGTGCTTAGAATGTTTCGAACTAGCTCTACTTTTCAACTTTTTTTCTTGTTAAATGGATCAGGAGATCAATCCCTTGTGTACTGCAGAGCACACCCGGCCACTGCGCCCCATCTTTGCACATAGTGAATCTTATTAATTGCAATAAAAACTGTTGAGATCACATTAGGATCAACAAATTTTTATTATAGGTTGAAAGTTTTGTTCTTTTACAACAATGGAATTCTAAATTTTCTATAAACCCGTCACACATATTTTTTTCACAGTTTTTAACTGAAGCTCTCATATTTTCAACAAAAAACCAATCGAATAAGGGAATTCGGTCCAGCAGGACACATACTTGGCTGTTTCTATTTCTAGGTGCTGCTGTTCTGTTAGAAATTTCACTTAGGTTTAGTTATGAGTTTTTTGAAAGCCTTAGTTCTTAACATATTCAAACTTGAAGCGAGAATTATATATGTGATAAGTGCGATAGAACAAAGTTCATTATATAAATCTGTAAAGTTTCTATCTCTTGAAACAGTGTAAAAGAAAGCTCTCAGCGTTGATCAATCTCGGAGGGATGCGCCATGCATTCGACTTCATTAAGCATCGTTGGAGATGGCTGCATCATAGGTGCCCTTTACGATGGCCTACCGATGTATCGAGCCACTACTGCTATCCTCAGACAATTCTGGTACCACTTTGCCGACCCCGCAGGGACGGATGGTTTGATGGATCTGGGATACGGACATCAATTCCAAGTGTATTGCTTTATTGCTGAAATATTGTAGTCATCAAGAAATCGTCATCCATTATTGGAAAATCGACCTCACCGTGGAAACGTTAAAATGATAGAGAAGTGCCCCTTTTTTATTACGAGCTATTAATTTTACTGTGTTCGCGTTACTTTGTAAGCAACTTGTAGACGTTGAACTTTGCTATGATTATTTCGACATATTAATAGCGTCATTGGAAGAAAAAAGTGGCTGAACATTTATGTTCCACTATAATCCAACAATCGGTCAGTCGATTTCGATAAGAAATCAAAAACAGTATCTAGTTAATATGTACCAAATATCCGATCGTTCTTGGTTTCTTCTTTCGTTAATGGTTCACTTTCAGATTGTGCATCGATTGGTTTTAGTGGGATCCGATATCACGGTGACAGTGTTTTATCCAAAACGAAGCAGAGAAACAGAATCGAGTTCGTCTCCTGCAATGCAGCCGTACTCGTACTTTTTCCAGGTACCAGTATACCCCAACAGTCATCTAGTACCAGGAGAGGTACATTTTGGCACTTTAACAACTGTACGTCTTGCGAAATGATGTAGGTTAAAAATGTCTGCTCAAAAGATTTTTAGAGAGCTACAGATATTTAAGCAATTGCTATTGTATATAAAATCATATGATGATGGTGATTTCAAATAGGTAGCATGCTCAACCCTCTTTTATATTAGTCCACTTGTCATCACTTTCCAGACCATGGATTTTCCCGTTCCGGTATCTCCATGTTTCTCGAGATTATTTGCCCAACGAATTCTTGCGTGATACAGGTGGTCGCCTGCTGGCAGCGTTCACTCCCTTGTGTGTTATTAGATAAGATAGGTAGATAGAAGATAAGAAGTGAGTACAATGTGACTCAGTCTTTCGGAATTAATGAAAAATGATTCATTGCTGCAATAAGATCTTTTGTTCTTTGAAATGTTCTTTTGCTCGAGGAACGAGGAAGGCATTTTTTTGATAAAACAAATCATCGCAAAATACTTTGCGCAGTTACCATTTCGTGTTTACACAGTCTTGCCACCTTTGCTATCGCAGTGGTTTAGTATTGACTGCGTTCACCAACCCTTCCGAAACTCTTCCTATATTTGCTTCACGCTCACTTTATGCTGTACCGCTTTTAAACAGCTTTGCTTTCGGGCATTACCACGTTTTGGCACAATGCCCGATACTGTTTGATCATAGTACGTTTGGTATTAAAGGTATGATTGATCTCAAAGTGATCTTTGACCGTAAGACACTTGTTCTATTAATTTACTAAGATGGAATTCTATTTTCTGGAGCCGTCGAACATTGCGCGAAAACTTACATTCCGAATACAAAAGCTGTTGAACAAGCCCACTTCTCGTTTTTTTCCCTGTTTTCGTATATTTTTCTTTTCGGCTGTACTCGATCTGACGTTTTGTGTTCGTAATTGCTCTGCTTGTGTTACAGATTTTAAAAACTTGAATTTCTTCCCCATTCCTTTTTTTCGAAAATTTTGCTTGTAAGCAAATCTAAACTGGAAAAAATTAAAATTTTTGTGAACATCATATCTACACCAGCACAGTTTTCTATGTACATCTTCGAAGTTCTCAACTACTGAGAATTCTCTAGTCGTAGATAAATAATCGTCAATTGTGGAAAAACCACAAGGCGTTGTGGGTAAATTATACTTCCATTTAATTACTTACGAACTATCGTCGTATTTTGACGTTTCGACTGAATCCGATGGGTCTCTTGGCTTCAGCATATGAATCCTCAATCCTTGATTAGTTTTAGTTTAGTCTGCCATGATTTGTAGATGCGTAGGAACCGTGAGAATTCGTTTTGTTTCTTTCAGGTGCCAGATGCCTTGTGCTATGAAAAAAGTACTACCAGGTACGTATATTAGTTCTCCTATATTGAATCAGTATTTGAAAAGGGAGTGGTTTATTTATAGTGAACTGATTATCTTTGGACGGAATAACGGAAAGCCGTCACTTCTGATAGATTTTGTTTTTTTTTTCGCTTTAATCTCTATTTCAGTTTTAAACCACACAACTTGGACAAATTAAATTGGAGCTTTTTGGATTGCAACATTAAGTATCGTAACAATTCACAAATGTTCAAAGAGGAGATGAAGAGTTATTCGTCTAGGTAACCCTTTACACCTATATTTCGCTCTTGTTTTTATTTTTTATTTTCACGCCGTCGCTGTTTAGAGATTAAGTATTTTTTCTGTTTTCAATAGTGTAACATCATTGAAGTTGTTTTGGTACATACTGTTTTGTAATTACCTCCTTGCAAGTGGCTTATCTTCAGATTCATGATTGTTCCGCAGCCGGAAACACAAAACATCGTTCAGCGGATTCTAAATGAACAGTTATCGGGTGTATCGTTTCGAACCGTTCAAGGCATGACAAGTTCTTCGCTTCTTTACGATAGCATGATACGAGTTCTCCTACAAATCAACCGACTTGTTCGACCTTCTCTTGGTTCGTCTGCCACAAACACTGCTCAGCGTGATTTACCTTCTGGTGCTGAGCTTACAGTAGCTAACTGTGACCAAGTAAGATTTAAAGAACGTCTTTCTTTAAGACCTGTTTATTGTTTGTCATTAGTCGTTATCTCGAGAAATGGTTAAGTTACTACGAATGCTCCCGAAGAGATCAGTTTGTTGATGGAATTTTTTCAAAGATGTTTCGAATTACTGCATCTGTCCCATGTTTCTCATCGTCCCAACAGTTTACCACCTCATCGTTGCTGGGAGGTGTTCTTGGGTGTCAGGCTGCGATGTACAGTGCGGGGGGAAGGGGGTTTCATCCTCCATCACGGCCTCCCAACCTGGGAAAGAGTCCAGTGTTTCCATCAAAAAGTCCGTAAACCATTGCCAAGGCCCACCACCGTTCTAGTATTAAACTAGTCGCATGGTGGCAAATCTCCTTTTGATCCACAAGAACCTCCCTCATATGGGGGATCTCGAACCGGTTAGTCGCGAAGCTACGTGGCGCGTCCCCAGGTGGCGGATAGGGGGTTAATCGTGGACCAAAAGCGGCCTTTGCTTCCCTAGACGCAGGTGGATCCAGGGAATGGAGTCCATGTTTCTGCTGCACTGATTTGGCACATACTTCCTGTATTTGCTAGGGTATTTATGCATGCGTGTGGGTGCGTTCTTGCTTTTGCGGACTGTATTCTACTAGTCAATTCGGCCAAAAGCCTGCAATCAAGTGACTGGAAAGTATATGGGAGGCAGTTAGGAGTCGCCTCTAACAAATAAGCTCCATGTTCACTTTGGCAGAGTCTGGCAAGCTACCCGTGAGTATACCCAGCCCCACGTTTAGAGCCTAGCAAGCTATACGTGGGTATCAAAAATACTAAACAGTAAAAACAAAAAGGACCTCATTCTCCTGACCCTGAAAGAGCCCCAATTTCGCAGCGATGGGTAGGACGAGTACGGAGAAGCTGCTAAAATCTCAGGACCAATGGAAGCTGCCTGGATTTCAAGGAACTGTGGTGACGATCTGTACCTACAATGCACGTACACTTGCATCCAAGTCTTCGATAGAAGACTTGTTTATGCAAGCAAGAAGGATAAGGTACGATGTTATCGGCCTGGCCGAGACAAGAAGACGCCAGCGTTTCAACGCCGTCTACGACACCGGAGACAAACTGTTCCTCGAAACATGCGACACTGGAGAAGTCGTCGGCGTCGACGTTCTCGTCAACACGAGTTTGTCCATGAAAATCCATTAATTCTAACAACTTACAACCTAAATCGGACGTTTACGATCAAAAATACGTGGAAAATTCCGGCTTTGACAATCTTCGTCGTTTACGTGCCGACATCAAACTATGACGAAGAAGAAGTCGAAGCGTTCTATATGGACTTGGAGAAGTTCTACAGAGAAGACCATACATTCTTCAAGGTCATAATTGTTGATTTCAACGCCAAGGTTAGACCAAGAAGAACGTCTGAGGAACGTCACATTGGGACCCACAGATTAGAATGGAACGAACAGGCTGAGCGGATATCTGAGTTTATCATGGCGACCATGGTAACTCGCAATTCCAGAAGTCCCACCCTCAGCGCTGGACGTGAGAGTCATCCAATGGAGAGTAGCATAACGAAACAGACCACATCATAGTAAATTGAAGGTTTTGTCTAACCGATGTCGCTGTTCTCCCAAAATTCTACACGGGATCAGACCATCGTCTCCTTCGTGCGTGATTCTTTTTCTCGTGGAAAGGAGAAAAAGCCATGTGATTAAGCAGGGTTTCGAAGAGGACCACATCGACACGGTAACACGGCTCATTGAAGTATCGCGAGAGTACAAAAGACCGCTCTGTCTCACTTTCATCGATTTGCAGAAGGCCTTTGATTCAGTTCAGATGAAAGCAGTCTTGGAAGCCCTTGATAGTCAAGAAGTCCCTACTCAGTACATAAAGATTCTTTGTGAGCTGTACAAACATTTCACAAAAGATATCACGATTCTATAACGATATTAACATTGACGTCAAAAGAGGAGTTAGCCAAGGCGATACCATCTGGCCAAAATTATTTATCGCTACCCGCAAAAATGTCATGCGAACATTAATATGGGATAATGTGGAAGTGAAAATCGACGGTCGACAGTTACACCATCTTCGCTTTGCTGACGACATCATCCTTATAACACCGAACATTAGCCAAGCGGAACGTATGCTTGACAACTTCCTACTTCCTGCCATAGCGTATGCGTCAGAAACCTGGTCGCAGCGTAAGCAGGACGAAAGGTCACTCAGCGTTATCGAACACGCAGTCGAAAGGACGATGCTAGGAGTACCCGTTCCACACAAGTAAAGTATGATATCCGAAGCCCCTATCTGTGTCAACGATCAAAAATCAAAGGTGCCGTTCTATACGCCAAACAGTCGAAGATGAGGTGGGCAGGACAGGTATTGCGTATGAATGCCCACCGATGAGCAAAAGCCGTTAGTGACTGGAATCCTCGGGATGTCAAACGTACTGCAGGAAGACTACCGACCCGATGGTCAGAGTTCTTTACGAACAGCCTTGAAGAAAAGTATGATGCTCGACGAGTCTCTAGAGCGAGCAGAACCCACTGGGCTACTCTTGCACGCGACAGGGAAAAATGGAAGATTTACTGGCGCCCGCTCGAGTCACTCGACGATCAACGGGACTACAGGTGATACAGGTAACAGGTGATCCACAATGGCGGCGACTGCCTGCGGTGGTGATGACCTGGGGCATTCTTTGGCCTGACTGACCTCGGGACTTCAGGGAGCCACAATGGCTAAGCCAGCAAAACTCCGAAACAATGGAAATTATGCTGGAACCCGCACAACCAGTGAAGGCGGGTCATCCAAATATCCAGTTTTTCTCCGAATACTTTTTTCTCAATAATGTGCGGTATTTTGCAATCTTCGTCACGTCCTGTTCGAACATCGAATCTTATGGAAGATGTCAGATGACTTGCCGAGTACATTTCCCACGTAGGCAACCTCTTGTGAACACTGTTATAATACTTTACTAATTCTGCGACAGTTTTTCTTGTATTATAGCTTATCTCAGTAATGTCTTTTTATTATCGACCATAATACAAACAGCACTTTGTCATTTTCTTTTTCATAGCGATTAACTTATTAGAGAATTGACTAATATTGATTGTTGTTTAAATTATTGTTCTGTTTTTTCAGATCGTGGCATATTTTAAAAAGAGTGGTTTCGTTGGCATAACAAGTCAAAATCCTGCTGCGGTATACCCTCCGAATATGTTTTTGTCTTATGATTTTGTAAACTGGCTTACGGGTATCTTTTTTTGCTTATTGACTGAATAAAATTTTCACTTCTTTCTCATCATTTTAGCTGGTAACGTAAAGGAATTGGCAACGCGTGAGAATGCGATCAAATTTGCCAACGAATTGGTAGAACTCGAAGCAATAGAGATTGTTCGAGCATGTGGGTGATCATTTTTTTATCGTTCATAGGGAAAGTGTGAATTACCTTTTTATTATTGTTGTTATTATCATTATTACTGTGAGATGATCCCAGTACTTCTTCCATTAAATTCGTTTTATTTCATCCTTTATCTACGACGATCTTCAAGCCATTTTCGCGTTTTTTCGACTGGTGCTTAAGAATCGTTTTTGTGAATTGTCGTCCTTGCCTCACTTGAATTGAATGGAGCCAATTGTTCCCAGACAAGTCTGATACCACTTTTCCTAGCCCGAAGATATGAGAACCGTAGTTAGCCCGGTATGTGTCGGACCAGCACCATGATACTAATGAAATGTTTCACTGCAACTGCGCTACCCGTCGTTTTGTATCATCTTGATATTTCGAAGATTTAAGTGTTACAGCTGACATTGAATATGATGAGTTGGAGTCATGCGTCTCATCGGAGTCAGAGACACGACTTTTTCGATATGGATTCCAGTTGTGCGCATTTGTAGACGGTGAACGCGATCGCGATGCTTCACATCCGTCATATAGCCGGTCGGTTTTGGTAGTGTCTTGCTGCCGTATAAGAGCTTCCCAGTTTAGTATATCATCTTTTTTCGTGATTGCGGTCTCCGAAATAAGCTGCACGAAGTGTTGACTTTTCTCTTATCGATGCTCGAGGAAGTATTCATATACCATCTAGTATTTCAGATGGATGAGAGTTGAGTTTATACCTAACTGTGCTCCATTCGGACCACTTGGTGAATGCCGATTTAAGCAAGCTGCTATTGACTTGGACTTTGTCCCTCGTGATCCTTGCCTTCTTGGTGAATGGGGCAGAGTACGTTGGTCCTTCTCTTTATATTTTCAACAACAAATCATTTTTCATCAATGCTCTTTCTAGGTTGTATACGATCGATCATTTTGTGAGTTAAAAACTTTTGAATTGAGCATCAAATGGTTAATGGCGACCGGTCAAACTGTAGCCGATACTGTCTATGCGTGGCAATCCAAGGTGATTTTAGTCGGATGCTTGAAGGAGAAAAGCAAATTTCTCTTCGCAGTGTTAATAATGTACAAGTGAAGTGTTTTACATTTCTTCAAGACTCTAACGCCTTAACTCTATGGGCGGTCCCTGTTTTGTACATTATTTTCTGATTTTTTGCAGTCAGCTTAAGATATATTATTTAGAAATAACAATTCTGGAACTTTTATAGAATTATTCACTACTTTTTGTTAGAGTGTATGTTATTTTTGTTCGTGTAATACATATTTGAAAGAATTGAAACTATTCTGTATTGGTGTTGATTTAGATATCAAAGGAAAAGTTCTTTTTGTTTCCCGTACCTGAGGATCCTATAGCGCTGCCGAAAGACGTAAATTCGAATCCACTTCGATGTCCAATTCGTATTCAAATCGACAAAGACGCTGTCCCATCACATATGGTAATAGCCCTAAAGCAATATGTTCTGATTTAAATATAGTTCCTCACTAAGCAGTTGCATTTAGTTGGAGCAGACCTTGCAACATTTGCTGTTCTGTTTTGGATTTTGTTCTATGGAGTGTTCGGCAGAACATAATAGAGAATATCCATTAGGTATGGTATAAAGTTTTGAAGCATTGTAGAAGTTCCATTTACGTATATCCGTTCTTAGTTTATTGTTTACGTAGTTTCATCCAGTTTAATCGTATTATCTTCCTTAAGAAAGCAGCGAGTCAAGTGGATCGTCGCTCTACATCCATCAAACGGGCGGAATGTTTGTATCGCTCGAACGGCCAAGCGAAAAATTACCCTTTTTCTTCTGGGCTTGGAATCATATGCTCACAAAAAAGTATCGGCAAGATAGGTAAGACCGTTTAGTGATTGAGGCGGTGCGATTGGTCGTATAGAAAATTGTGGTGATCTTCAATGATCGAGCTTTTTGCTTTTAGTTATGACTTTTGCACTACGCCAGGCCAAAGCGAATTCGCTTTCTTAGTGCTCTTGTTTTAATTCGAAATTGGACGGCCAGCGATTACTCTCTGGAACATTATCAACGTTTTCTTGTTTTTATAGCAATCAAAGTAGCTTCACTCGTATTGATCATACTGTGAGCTCACAATGTCTTAATTGTTTAACAATTTCATATGAGGTTGGAGAACCTTTAGGAAAACCCTAACTGAAATTCTCCTTCACCGTCTTAGAAACTTCATTGATTCGAGACGATAATGCAAGAAAGTTTGCGCGTTATTCGACATGACCTAGTTCAACTTGTTGCAGCTTTCAAGATCAACTTATCGCAAGAAAACTAAGCTGTAAACACATTTGAAAGACTTAGTTTCTTTTCAAGGAGCAAAAATTTCGGCTCAACTTTTAAAAGATGACGGATAAACTATGATATAAATTCTTCATGTCGAGATGAAAGAAAGATCGATTTTAAGCATTCTATGAAAGAAAGATCGATTTTAAGCATTCTGAACCTTCCATGTGGTTAATGAACGTTATATCTAGCTAGCCATCCCTTTATTATTTCGAATAGGATATGTGTTATCTACTTATCAACTTCAGACAGTTCTTTAAATCTGAAATGCATTTCCAAAATTGTTCTTCTCGATTGATCGCTTTAACTTTTTGTTTGCTTTCATTGGTGATACTAAACATCTCTTGATTCGTTTCGAAGAATTCCACAAGAGAAGTGGAGGCTTATCTTGCTTCTTTGGATACTTCGATAACCTGTCCTCACTAGTTGTGCGAGTCGCAGCTCAATCTCCTTTTTTTTCGAGATTTTGCAGGTTTAGGCGTTGTGGTTCCCTGTCTCGACGTCAGCCTACCCAAAGTCTCGCACATGTCTTCACCACTACATACAGTCGCCGCATGGATCAGAGGGGATTTTGGCCACCACGTGACTAGTTTGGTACCGGGATGGAGGTAGATCCTGGTATTGGTTTACTCTTAGCTGGGTTTCCTCATGGAAACGCCGGACTCTTCAGCTTGGGAAACCCTTCTGAGGTGATGAATCCCCCCGCTGTACAACGCAACCCAACACTCAGGAACACCTCAGCCAAGATGAAGCACTAAACCGTTGAGTGGCTGGAGGGTGGAGAATGGAGGCTTATCAGCCGGTTTGTCTCGCTTAAGTGGGCTTTTGTATCACCAAGCTCTTTATTGTGTAAGTCTTGCTGCACGTATAAAAATTAGATATTTTAGATCGGCAATTATCGTTTTTTTGCTACGGGAGTTCACTTTTGTTATTTTTTTATGTGCTGCTTGCGAAGATAGTTAAAATTTGTTAAAGATAATCTCTCACTTTTGTCTAGTCACTCTTTTATAATTAATAGACACCTTTTTGTTTCAGTCAGTGTTCGGAGGCCTTCCAAGACTACATGCTCAGGGAATTCCGAAAGTATTGCGGCAATGTTGACAATAAGCTTTGTGAGTTCTATACTTCAATGTTGGAAACCATCAACACTGCCGAATCGGTTGTTTTCCAGCAGGTTAAGCATTTTTAGATCTTGGACCTCTTTGTTTTACGAATTTCTTTTCCTTCTTTTCTTCTGTTTCTCACTAATCCCACATTTGTAATGATTTTCCTAACTTGCTATAACTTTTTTGTTGTATTTTTGTCAATTTATTGAGAATAAATACATTTGGGCCAATCACTTTAATAAATCGTGCGGATCCTAGCACATTCCATTTTAGTGGTGTTTTAATAACTTAAGGTTCACCCCAACTTTTTCATTTCTTTTTTCGTTTTTCTTTTTTCCCTTCTTCCCAAAAGATTCATTCCCTAAGATTTTCATCTCTAAATTACAAGCTGGTGATGGACAGAACTCTAGGGAAAAAGGTTTTTCTTAACAGCAAAATCGAAAGGAAGTTGTAAGTAAAACAGATCATGCAAATACTGTAGGCACAAAATATGGAATAACGAAATAAGATTCATCTGCTCAGATATTGTGAATAGGGCGCTCTTAACTGAGAATTTTCACCACACTTTGTTTTCTTTTTATATTTTAGTGTTTTCGTCTTTCGATGAGTACGAGTGGTATGTGTTATTTTCTTAATACTTTTACTTTATCTTCGTTTTCTTCCATTTTTCCCAACGTGAGTAACTGGTTATATTTGTAATTTGTCATGATTACCATGTTACTATACTTTTCAGGGTACCTTTTGAATGAAGTCCTTGAAGATTGAAATATTCACGTAATGTGTTAGGAATTTTCCTTGAAATATTGTGTTTTTGAGACATACGGTTTGCTACTGTTGTTTTTTATGGACTATATGATTTAGATTTAATCTTGTCTGGCTGGTACGTCGAATTATGTATGAAAACTGTTTAAGATGTAATCAGTTTTTATTCACTGCCTATCCTTTTTTCATGGCATAGTATGATGTGAAGTATTACCAGATTGTTGCTGAGATATTTGCAAATCTTCGGACCGCTGGTGCCTGCAGTCGGGATCGAACACGTTGTTACCCTTTCCGGGGGCTAACACCTTCACCACCGCACCGTGCGGGTCTTTCATCTGTAATACAGCTTCCGCTTAACTAGGTTCATTGCCGGTTTGTGTTCTCAAAATCAATCCCGTTGACGGATTATGCAGATTGCACCTATAGTTTAGAAACATGATTGAGAGAAAGGTGAAACGAAGGATTCGCATGGTGAACGCGTTAGCCTCCGGAATGTTCGATCCCGACTGCAGACACCTGCAGTCCGGAGTTTTGCAAATATCTAAGCATCATTGTGACCATTTTGAATGTTTCGAACATTCAGCTTTAGTTATTTTCGTATTTGGAACCAAAATAAGGACGGATTTGAATACGGCCGTTTTGAAAACCCGATTTTCTTTTCAGGAAACAGAAATTCTGGCGTGAAATTTTTCTAAAAGAATTCGAAAAGTGAAATTTCTGATGAAAGAATTAATTCCTAGTTGGGTTGTAGAAGCATGGTGCATCACTAAATCGATTATGTGAGGAGCCAACTTTCATCGGTCTAACAGAATTTGGGTTATAGTCGTTCATTTATGCTTTTTTGAATGGGAACTAGGGGGAAAACATTGTCTCATTGGCAGTCAACTGGTATTTATTGTTGATGTGCAGTATTTCCATTTGACTACTGTTTGGTTATTCCGAGTTCGATTCTCCCGTACATTATTCAATGTCTGTCTCCTGCCCGTTCTATTGGATCTTCTCTTCATGGCTGTTGATAACAATTCTTTGCCGTCATTTAGCATTACAAAAGTACTGTCACAGTTACGATTTTCTACGTTTACCAAATCTCTTCGGAAGTACAATGAAATACGCTCAACTTGTTATTGGACCAGCTGGGAGTGGAAAGGTAGTATGATTTTGCATTCATGTTGTTGATGAAGTTTCTTTCACTTAATGAGTTGGGACAGTTTTAGTCAACATATTGCTCGGTTATTTACAATCACTGCTTAAGTATTCGTCGTACTGTACATGTTGTAAATCTTGACCCTGCAGCTGAATCATTCAGTTATCCGGCGTCGATTGGTAAGTGGAAACACTTCGTCCTCTTATTACTATAATAATATCAGGCATGAGTATCTTTATAGTCTCCGTTTTACGTTTACGCTGTTGTGATTTTTAGGAATTTATTTTTTTTTAACGAAGGCAGTAGTAGTAACATAAATTCTTAACTCTAAGCACTTACTTACCAAATATAATTAGTCTATCCACAACCATGCTGAGGTATGAGGAAAATTCGGAGCCTCAATTTGACTTTGTACCCACGATTACCCTAACTGGGGCTCACGTAATACCCATCACTCCAATCGTTGCTTTTGTTCGGGCTTTCTCTTAGCCATGTTTTACTCTATTGGTGCCATCAGCAATCATCCGTTAACGGAAATCTTGTTTGTCAGAATCATCGTGTATATGTCACATAGTGCCCTGCCATTAAAAATAAGTAGAAAGTTAACAAACCTAAAACGTCATTGTTAGTCTATTTTGTAAACGTTGACTTGAAACTAGTTCCTTACTACACAGAGTTTGCTACATGGAATTTATAGGTGAGAGTGAAACATAAGGTCTTCTGTTTCTCTTTATCTGAAGTTGAAGAGTAATATACCTGATAGATCTCTTGCTTTGTAATTGCTGAAGATGGATAGTTTACATTACCAGATGTTCGAAACCTGATCTCCGTTGATGATATCACTGAAGACAATGAATTGGCTCTAGGTCCGAACGGAGCACTAGTGTTTTGCATGGAGTTGGTTTTTGGCTTCTAAAAAAACCAGACGAGATATAACTGATCGGAGAATCTATTTGTTTTAGATATATCGTCCAGAATTTGGAGTGGCTTCGCGATGAACTGGGCGAAGGTGAAGACGACTATTTCCTATTTGACTGTCCAGGTCAAATCGAATTGTATAGTCATCTGCCGATAATGCGTCAATTGGTTGATGCTTTAAGGTTAGTAATGTTTATTGAATTTAACATCTAAATAGAAAGATAAAGTTCTCGGTGTTGATCATTCCTTGAGTGAAGCGCCGTGCATTCAACCTCATTAAGCATCGTAGGTGGTGACTGAATGCATATCTGGTCTTTATTGACTCGCCGATGGCTTACCGATGTATCGAGTCAAAGCTGCTATACTACCAGACAATCTAGTACCAATTTTCCGTTCCGGAGGGTTAGAGGGCTTCCTGGGCCTGGGACGCGTGGATCGATCTCATGTGTATTGTAGGGCGCCTCCGACCACTGGGCGCCCTTAAAACCTCAATAAACTAGATTAAATTTGATAGTTGTGGTGACTGATATGAGGGGAGTTGTAATTATTTCTCATTGAAAATCTAAAGTTTTCTCCCCAAGTCTTCATTTATTTGTAAAGTCCATTCTTAAACTGTTCTTACAATTCTGTTATAGAGTTTTCTTCAATAATTTATGTTTAGGAACATGTGTACTAATTTTCTTAGTTATTCACTGCTTTATTAAGGTCGTGGGACTTTAATGTGTGTTCTGTATTTTTGATTGACACTCATTTTGTACTTGAAGCTGAAAAGTGAGTTTTGCTTCTGCATCTTATGTTTCCAGTAAAGGCCGGCGTTAAACTAAAGCACTGGAAATTGTTTAGGTTTATTGCTGGAGCCCTTACGGCTCTTTCAGCAATGGTTGCTATCGAAACGCCGTGTGTGAATGTGCTTACTAAATTGGATCTTCTTTCTGACCGAAATAAAGCGCTGGTACGTGTTTCTGGTCCAAATATTCCTGTTTTTTTTTCTTATCGAAATAAACAAAGTCAATAGTTTCAGGTGGAGGACTTCCTCGATACTGACACGAGAAGCATTGTTGAATCCGACACAGTGAACATTTGGAACGAACGTCACCGCCAGTTGACTAACGCCATAGCACAGGTACGTCGTAAATGATGGAGACATTTTCGTGTAAGTTTGGTGCACCATATCTAAACTTAAGTATGTACTCTTTAGGTGCTCGAAGATTATTCCATTGTGAAGTTCGTTCCATTAAATTCAGATGATGAAGAGAGCATCGAACAGTTATTGCTAGTTATCGATACCACTATTCAATATGGAGAGAATTTAGATGTTAAAGACAAATATCCAGAAGAACAAGATCTAGAGGACTAAGGAGAATCCGTCCTTTACGTTTTATGGTTTATTCTGTGAGAGATCTGCACACTTAACCCTTAATGCTTTTATCTGTTCAGAAGGAAGCATAAGGAAGTATGCCATAGAAACTATGATTGGGCTTACATTTGCAGTTGCGTTCAGATACAAATTTTGTGCACAAATTAGAACTCTCTGTGCTGCCATGTGATACCATATGATACTGGCTATACTCTAGGATCAAACCTAGAAGTTTTAATCAACTTTTCATTACTTTACTTAATTTGGTGTTGAGCTGTTTGAGATGTTGTAGGCTAATGTAAAGAGTTTTTCTGTTGTTGTCGCATAAGATACGACGACCGGAATGTACTTCCCACCACCATATTTCCGTGAAATTTGGGTTTTCCGAAGCTTGTTATTTGTTTCACCTCATTCCCACTTTGTTTACGTCATGTTCTCCACAATTGGTTAATTAAAGATTCTGTACCTAAGCGTCTTCTGGTTTTATCGGTTATCAGCATTCCTGAAAGATATCTGTGTGATCGATTACTATCATTTTTCCTATGTAAACCTTAGATTCAAATCAGTATTATGGCAAAGGCGAAGGATCATGGAGATATGAATAAAGGAAGCTCTGGGTGAGTGGCAATGAGATCTTTTAGAATTTATTATTGTTATGTTGTGTGCGTATAGTTGTAGGTTTTGTATTTTAGTGAACCGTATAGGCCTGGAGAATATAGCGAGGTCCACAATGATGAGGTATCCAGGAGTTTTGTAATGTTTTTATTTCTGTACATTGTTATTAACCAAATAACATTTGAAGGCTGAAGTAATGGGTGCATCATCGCCAATGCTATCGTCTAATGATCCGGCAACTGATTTAGATGGTGGCGATGAACACGATCATGGTTCTCCAACGGGATCAGTGCACAGCAGTGGAGGTATTTTTCTCTTATTGTCTACTTAGAATTCTTTTTGGTATGGGTGTTATGGGTGTTAAGCTTCGTCACCACATGTGCCGTCAAGCCAAGACCACAGTGACCCGAAAAGTGAAAAAATCTCATATTCTCGTCGTAAAAGGGCTACAGGACACATGGCTTCAGTCATCTGTCAGTTTGTGGACACCTCTGGCCGAGGAATAGTGGTAAGTTCTCATAGCTATAAGTTTTATTCAATTTTCGTTTGATTTGAAAACCATTTTTGGATCTATAAGGAAAGAAAGGAATAATTATAAAGGAAAGTTATTTTGAGTGTACATATGTTTATTCTCTTTATTTTTCTTCAGATTTACTAAAGATGAGTGGATGCTGAAGGATTTATGCAGCAGTTAGATTAAAATGTTTGAACATATTCGACAAGACATAAAAACGTTGTCACGCTGGCGACCGTGGTTTTCTTCTTTTCGAAACCATCAGCAACTTTTTCGTAACTAGAAAAGTTGAGGCCTTGTTGTCTTAAGGATATATGTAATTTTGTAAGATGTTTTCTTTTCGATTTTTAAGGTAAGAACTTAACTGCTACTACTAAAATATTTTACGGCAGAAGCACGCAGAGATGTGTGGGATGTGTTACGCCATATCTGAAACATGGATAGTAAAATCTTCGCATTTAACTCTCAGGGTCAACTATCCGTTAACTTGGTTATTGATATGTTGCATTGAATGGGTTGCATGTCGACTTGGCCTTTCCAGGCTCCTACGAAAGTGAAACAGCTGGAAGATCGGCCCTTATTGAATAAGTCTTTTGCTAATAACCGTGTATAAGTTCAAGAAGAAAACATTAATTAATTGCAAATTAATTGCATGTATAGATATTATAGCAATAACAAGGTTAGAAATACAGTGTGCAGTGTGTATGTGAGGACTTAAAAGTACCATCAAAACGTCTGTGATACAGGACGATAAGTGAGTGGACTTAAAATTTATCTGGTCTTCAGTGTACAAGAGTGGAATGGGTGGGAAGCATGACGGCTCCATCAGAATAGCAACCGAAGTTAGATGTCGCTGCAGCAGGCGTGAACATTCCTACCGAGCGTTTTTACGGTTGTGCAAGTGTTAACATACAGAGGACTTACAAACATTTTCCAGTCAGCTGTGAAGCAAGAGCATAAGCCAGCTACTATGGCCCATTTTGTAGATGTGACCTTTCAGTGCTATGAAGATAGCCCAAATCAGCGAAACTTTGGACACTATCTAATAAATATCGTTTTAGAAACCTTGTATCTGCTCATAATTTAAAGCAATGAGTTGGTGATTAATGCTGAAGTTACTAAAGAGCCGATCCCAAGAATTGCTACACATCTATACTTTTTCTTTCTTAATTTTTCATGCGAACATAGTAACTACCGAAATTAACGTCAGGAAACACCGCAATTTGGTTTTGGTCAATATTTTGCTTGTTATTACCCACTTTGGGCGAAACGAGGGCCTCGACGAGAAGAAGCGGAAAGAAAAAAAAATTACTTTGGTCCAGAAAATTACGATTTCATCTTAATAGAATAAGTCGTATTATTTGTCAGGTGGCTTCTATGTTTATTTAAAATGTTCACAATTTATGGTGGCACATTTGTTTAAGCTACTTTCCTTCGCAGCCTTTGAATTGACACGAATGTACATTGTCTCTGATGACTTGATTTCCGTATCGTGGTCGATTGTTTTGAACTTTTAGGAGGGCAATTTTCCATTGTTCGGTGACCATGTTTTTGACACAATGGCTAGGTTTTTTTGCCAATTTGCACCACGTGTCAATGATTTGTTCTCAACTCTTCGATCCATTTTAGTGTAAACAACGTGCCATTCTTGGATACAAGTTCTGTATAAGGCACATACTTCTTGACCCATCAGCACCATACAAGCAGTGTGAGCACCATCGAAAACCGAAAAGTAAGTATTGGTCGCTTAAGCTTTTTTGTTCGTAATTTGTACTACTGTTCGTTATTTATAGTCTTACGATACTCTACCAACTTTACGTTCGTTCTTATTATTCCCACCATTTTCTTCTACCACGTTTCCATCCGGTGTTCCAGCTTTGTGAAACCGGAGAAGTGCCTCAGAGCAGAACTTAATTTTTTTTAAAAATTTTTTAGAGCTTAATTTTTCAATTTCGGACACTGTCATTTACCGTGCTGCATAGGCATCCAATTTTCTGATTCTTGACGGCCTGGTTATTCCTGGTGACAAAATTTATGATTAGTTGTTGCGAGTTCAATTCAGTCCCTAATGACATTTCACGTTTTAAGTTGCAAGCGTTAAAAATGAACTGAATATTTTGACAGCGTTATTGACGACTCGCACGAATAATAGTCGTCGTAGTGATTTGCGCTCTTGGTCTACAGTCATTTGAGCTCAACTTCCGCACATTTTCTGCTTAGATGCTCCACCATCAAGTAGTGTCACAGTCGTTTCAGGACATCAATTTCGGTTGAACCGTTAGGTTGTTTATTGCTCTGAGATAAATGAGTGTCAAAATTACTAATACAACGTTCCATGAATGGAGCGTCGACTATCTGAAACTGTTCTGGGCCTAGTATGAGCCTAGGAAACAGTATTAAAAGAACTTCTCTCGTTATGTCGGTCAGTTTTCGAAGTTTCCATATCTTTTTTCTATCACTGTACGAGAACACCTGTTTTTCACTCAACTCATCCCCGTTGTTGTATCAATTTTTTACCTCATCTATGTTACTCGCAATGGGCGCGTGGAGCTGCAATATATATGGGATCGTTCACCGTGCCCAAGGCTTACCAAACCTTCCATCTCTCCAGGGTCGCCAAATTGGTATCAGGGTTGTCTGAGAGGATAGTAACACTGGCTAGATATATTGGTAGGCCACTGCGAGTCATTGTAAAGGCCATTCGTTCACCTCGAAACGATGAGTAATGAAGTCGAATGCATGGCGCATCCCCAAGAATTAATCAACACCGAGAGCTTTATCCTTTATTCTTTATGTTATTTGCAGACGATTTCTGCGCTCAATAAAGACCAATTCATGAAAATTAAGAATAGTGTACTATTGTAGATTTCATTATTCCCTTTCTTCTTTATCATCAACTTCACAGGTTCATTTTTGATGTTTTTAAAATGTTGGAGATGTTTTTATCTGTTGATCGTCACGTCTTAAGTGATCTGTAAATTGAAGTATTTTAGGTAAGAAGGACCTTGCCACGCGTTGTACAAATGCTATTCGTAAGGACAAAGAGGAAAACTTTTGCAGTACTCATCTGATAATGAATGGAATGAAGGTGTGCGGTTATACTTCTTGTGTACTTGTGATTTTTTTTCATCATTTCCTAAATTTAAGGAGGCAAAGAAGAAAGAGAAGGCATCCGTTGCTCCTTCGACGAACAGTGATGGCGGCGTTGACGTAACCGAGCCTGCGGAATCGACTCAAGTAGTTTCTGGAAACGTGGATTGCTCTGCAACAGGAGAGCAGTTTGTTCCATCAAACGAAGTTTCCACTATCTTATCTTCCGATCCTCATGATGTTTCGCAACCGTTCGTAGCATACACAGAAGCCGGAAGATTTACTACCTCATCAGTGTCGAGTTCGCCACTGATTGCCTGCGTTGCTACATCTACGGTAACCAGTCTCATCCCGCGACAACAAATGGTCGCTCCTACGTCCGTAGTTCCGGCGATGACATCCACACGACAGTCACTGCTGCCACAAGCACCATCGAGCGCAACCACGTTGAGACAATATGTGCAGAACAACACGTTCCTGTCTGGAAATTCGCTCCGTCAACAAGTACCTTCGTCCAGTACCTCTGTACAGCGACAACCAGCGCTTTTTCCGGTTGCTATTGCCGGATCGAGGGACACTCGTCAACCGGTCTTAGCGCAGCTCAATATGGAGAGTAAACGTCACTTTGGAGTGCCAACTGGATTAGTGTCATCATTGGAACCACATGTTGCAGCATCAGGTACAACCGTTCTGTAGTTTTGTGTTGTTTTTTATGTGACTCATTGGTAATCACTTGATCAGAACTCTAGTTTCAAAATGGCTAGGTGCCATTTAATTCGTTTAAGACCTAGCCTTCAAATTTTGGATTTCAGTTGCACTTCATTTTGTTGTGGCAAATATCTTGATCGTCAACGCTTCCTCAAAATCATAGCTATTTTGAAAATAGACTACAGTCATTTTTTCCTAATTGATTTGCTCCGTTAATTCTTGCGTCAGCGCGCTTGTAAGCGCAGTGGTTGGAGGCGCCATGAAATTCATATGGGATCGATCCCCGCACCCAAGACTCACCTAGTCTTCCATCCTTCCGTGGCCGGAAAATTGCTACCAGACTTGTCTGGATAGCAGCACGGGGTGAATACATGGATAGGCCACCGCGGGTAATTGTAAAGGCCAGTTATGCATTCAGTCACCTCCAAAGATGTTAATGTAGTCGAATGCATGGCACACACCTCATGAATTGATCAACACCGAGAACGTTCTTTTTTAATTCTTGCGTCAAATTATTTCAAGTAGTTTCTCGGCGATAGCAGCTTGGATGTTGTGTGTCGTCAAATATAACTGCTCGGACTGCTTTGGAGACAAGCGTCATCAGCTTTTCTTCTGTCAGCTTCGACCACAAATATTCCCTAAGCGGTTAGTCACGAAAAAAAACATTAACGTCTTATCCATGTTGTCAACTATCAACAAAGGTTGCGTTGAATCTCGAATTTACTTTCCGGTTGTTTTTTTTTAATGGAGAAATCAAACAGCAGAAACTTGTAACACATACAAAGCAGGTGGCACATAGAAAAAAGACCGTTTAGGCCAGAAGTCAAGGTAGTGAGAGATTGCCTTCTGTTTTTTCACTTTAGTCATATATTTAAATAGTGTAGTTTAACTGTGTCTAGCAATTACTTGGACTGCAACTATTTAAAATAGTAGAAATGTGTGGCATTAGCGCCAGCTATTGTTCCAACTAAAAGTGTTCCAGACGTGACGAACAACATGCCACAAGGTATGATTCCTCATCAAATGGCCGAGCGTGAAGAGAACCGAATTTTTGCCCAGCAACCACCACTTTCTGCCGTTCAAGGCATTGAACAACATTCTGCAACAGCTCCGATGTGCCCTCCAACAATTATCGAATCACAACCCAACAGTGCACATATACAGCGCGCTGCTCTTTCTGGCAATTTGCAACACCAACCGCAACAGCAGCAACAACAACAACAGCAACAAAAAGCTAACTTTAGCCAGGTACCCCGGTTATTTCTGTATTTTATGTTTTTTTGCAATACCAAGTTACATTGCAGCGACAAATTCCACCGGGTGCATTGGCAGCGTTACGTGCTCAAGCCCATCGCACTCGTTCGTTGTCTTCAACTGCGATTCAAAGGAATCATCCACAGCTAGCAGCGAAGGTAAAGATTTGGATTTTGTGTTAAAACTATGATTATTTGGTCGTCATTCGACTTCTGATTGTTAGAATACCACTGTTCACAATCCATTCGCTGGGCTCAGTCAATCCCTCACCCTCACTGTTATCTTCACGTTCACTGGGTGTTTCTAATCTTTCCTTCTAAAGCATTTTACTTCACAGACCTGTCTACTCATTTTTAAAAGTTGTATATGAGTGATAATGAAAATGTTATGTGTAACGAACACACCGCGTTCAGGATCATTCGTTCTGGTCAGCATTTCAATCTGAGGCACTTTATGCCATAATACGGGCGAAATCTCCAGTGTTAATTTTGACTTTAAAAGCTTATCTAGGATTGTGGGCCACGTAACCATTTTGTATCTTAGTTGCTCGAAGGAGGAGTACGAAATGCGCGAAATTCTCGCTATGCAGCTGCTCTTTCTATAGCAATTGCTCGACAAAATCAGCCACTTCCTTGGAATGCGCCCCCTATCGCACGTCGAACGCCTCCGTCTAGTGAGGATGAGGATTTCGGTAAAGAGGCAAATGGCAGTAAGGTATGAGAATCGACTTGTGGTTGTAAAACATGAATGTTTCATGTTTTCACATCTAGGTGATTCGACTCCGAATGAAGCGCCAGCGTCGCCGTATGGTCGGAATTTACCGTGCGATTCCGGAAATCGACTCAATGTGCCGTGCAGTGGAAGACGTTGATTATGATAAAACCGACTTATTTCCACTTGGTGGATAACAATTATATTCATTGGTCTTCGACTACCTCTTGGATCCTTTATCTTACTGATTCCAACTTTTCTCAAACATTACGAATAAGGGTGTTATGATATTGAAGGTCTTGAGCCTTCGGATGACGAAGATGCAACCTATCCATCGTCATCGATTCTTCCAACCGCAAGTCTCGCCGTATCTAGCTATTCTGGTGATTTGTCCACACAACTCTATCTTATTAAAAAGCAACTTCGACTAGAAAGGCATGCACTGTTAAAGCAGGTATAGGCGTCATAGATTTCATCATGTTTGGCGTCGAACGGTTCTGCGTATAAGTTCGTTTAGGCGCAGTTAAATGCGCATATAATGTGTGCTTCGCGACGGTTACCGTTGAGTGTGGGTGCTGCGCTTCGCCAACGTTGTGATCCGTCTCCTCCACCATTACAACTGGCACCGGCATCCTTACGCAGATGCTGTCAACTAGACAACACCAACAAACAACGGTATGTTGCGTCCTAACTGGACCAGCGACACGTTTATCACTTGGGGATTGATGTTCTGGAGGACCCTCGTCTTTGGGTGATAGAGTGCTTACTGACTGCTGTTGTGGTTCTTGTAACTGGCAATTCAAGTTAGATGTACAGTCGTTTGATGAATATAGAAGTAGAACACAGATATGTTGACCCGTCTTACTAAGGGCTAAATTAAGGAAGAAACTAATAATTTCGCCTTTTACCTTTGTTATTTGTTTCATATCTGCAGCGTTTTTCTTTTATTACGATGATGTGTGTGTTTTAACGACAATTAATTCAGGTGCGAACGAGCTTGTTTACCCATGTCAAATCACTGTGTACATCATGTACTGTACAATGTAAATCAGCGACTATTCGTGTTCTGTACGCAATCGTTTTGTCGTCGTCCAGTGAACTCCATTGACGCGTTATTGTGGGACGGAAAATGTCCACTTCATAGGCAATCCAGAGAGGATAGATACGGTAAGTTTCAGCAATGGAGCTCGATAGGCCACTAACGACCCTTGGAATATAGTCCATGTGGCTGATAAGAAAAACGACCTATTCGTTCGAAGTCAACAATTGAGAGTGTGATTTTTGTTGCATGCGTTCACCAGCTGAGTTATCTCCTTTTTGAGTATTTGTTTTTCCTCACAACTTTTATATACTCGTTTTTCAGGACCAGCCCCAGTTTATGAGAACAGTTCATTCGTGAGTTCAGTATTGCCGGTTTGTTCCCCACCTGGTGGCGAGTCGTCTGCAGCGAGTCTTTTGTTTCAGAATGATCCACCACATGTACTTCTTGCTGATACCGCGGCACCACTTGACTGTCAACTTTCATTGGACGTTTCGCATTCATGGGATGATGTTACCGAGTTTCTGATGTCAGAAGGTTTTCCAGTCGATTCGCCGAATTCGCAAGTGACACCTACATAGTAGTATATCAATGGATCTGTGTGTTGTTACGTTCTATACGTTCTAAGTAGTGTTTAACTGTAAAACCATTCGAAGTATTTTATCTAGAAGTGTTTGAAATTTGCTGCCGTACTATAACATTGTTGACGTTTCCAAGTCTCAACATTACTCGTTAATTTAGATTTGTAGAAACGTACTAATGCACTCCAAAGCATCGAGTATCTCACTTCTCCAAAATCTATTTATTTATATGATAACATAAATAAATATTTATATGATCTTATAACTGATCTTCTTTAGCTGATGCGAGTTTGGTATTGGTCTTCTTTGTTGTTGTCGTTGTTGTCTTTGCTGTTGGTTGCTCGTTGTTACGAGTGGTACCACTCGTAACAGCACGGCTCTGAGGAAGGCGAAATCGTCGAAACGTCAGCCATCGACCAACAACACTAACACCAAAGACAACGACAACGAAGACCTATACCAACCTCGCATCAGCTAAAAAGATCAGTTTATAAGATCATATAAATAAATATATCAACCATCTATACTGAGGTTTATAGAAAGTCGGTCCTTTGAGTTATTTAGAGATCTCCAAAATCTGCTTTTTCTTTTGCGCTAGGAAAAGAGGGGTTCCCAAAATCCTATGTTACTTTGTTAAATTACATGATTATTGTAGGAAAATGTTATTTTGTTACCATTCCTTTTTAGACGTGTAAATTTTGCTTTTCGCTCTTTGCTCACATTTTTCTAGTTCTCGTTAGTACCGATTAGTCTTTGTAACCATTGTTATGCTGTTATTACTGCTTTTTCTTGCATTGTTCGATGATCCTCGCATTAATTTCGGTGAATTCCTGATGCTCTTCTTTATCAAGAAGGTTTTATTTCTGGGCCAAAGAGTCCAGCATAATCAGTACACATATTTTTGTTCACTAAATTCTGTACATTTCTATCGTCTTACGAGTTTTAAATGTTGGAAACTTTTTAGGTATACGAGAAAAAAAAGGAGTGATAGGAGCATCTCAGTAGCGTACTGTATGTAGACTCGTGGATTTGTCTTATGTTGATGTATTGTGTTATTAGGTAGTATTTATAACAGTAAAAGCTTGGCTGGACCTGGTTGGCAAAGTGGTTTGTCAGCTGTTTTTGTTTTACATAAAGAACTGGTTACTGTTTGGAATAGATGAACGGGCAAGAATCTCACTTGAATGCTGTAGGATATTTTTCGACTATTCTGTCTATCATGTATATATATATTATATATATTATATATATATATATTATATATATATTATATATATATATGTATATATATGGGGCGCAGTGGTTTGAGGCGATGCACGCGTGGAATCGATCCCCGCGCGTTCTGGTCCTAGTATGAGCTTAGGAAACATCATGAAAATAAGTTCTCTCGTTATATCGACCAGTTTTCGAAGTTTCCACATCTTTGTTTCTGCAACATATATTCACAGAGCAATAGACTTATGAATCGTGTTGAATAAAGGGTAGTCTCCAAAGTTGAGGCGTCTTAGAGAATAGCTCAGTTGTGTCGAAATGAAATAGCAAAGCTGCTACATTTCCATCTTAACTACGTTGCTACCCCAGTGACTCCGTTTGAAAATCAGTCGTTCTATCGATAACACTGGGCGAAAACTCCTGTTTTTCACTCAGCTCATCCCCGCTGTTGTATCAATTTCCTCACTCATCCATATTACTCGCAATGGGCGCGCGTAGCTGTATATGGGATCGTTCCCCGCGCAGAAGGCTTACCAAGCCTTCCATCCCTCCAGAGTCGCCAAATTGGTACCAGGGTTGTCTGAGAGGACAGTAGCACTGGCTAGATATATTGGCACGCCACGACGAGTTATTGTAAAGGTGAGATATGCAATCAATCACCTCCAAGGATGCTTAATGAAGTCGAATGGATGGCTCATCTCTCAGGGATTGATCAACGCCATGAGCTTTATCCTTTTATATATATATATATATATATATATATAACTTATTACGTAACAGGTTATACTACACTATGAAACCCTTGATCCACACACGGGTTCATCGTTCTCTCGTGGTTGCGAGGTATTCTTGTGTCTTAAGCTACAGTCTATTCTTGGGTCTTAAGCTGCAGATACTACACCTATAAAGCAGGATGGTCCCATGTCAAGAATTCGGAATTTATATCAAGTAGAGGTCTGCTCGGTAAAAACGTCAGTGGGGATGAATCATGTGTAGGTAACGATGTTTTAGACCCACTAAGAGTACCACAGCTCTAGTTGAATTCTCTTATCGTCTGATGATACACCTACCTGTCGTCCTGTTTGTTTTTTCGTTCATATTCCTGACTTCCATCTTCTTCCACTCCGTTCTTTATTTGTTCTAACTTCATGTTGCAGTTGCTTTTCATAGGAATTCTATCGAATATTTGGAGGTGATAAAACCTGCGATCACTCGAATATTTGCCGTCTTTGTTCATCTTTAATAGATTTGGATAATTCGGTATAATAAGTTCAATTGGGTACATTTCTTCCACTCGCTCCGAACACTAATGATTTCCTCTGGAAAAATTCGTTTGTCTTTTGGCTTTTTATTTTCGTTCTGAAGTCGACAAAAAAGTGATGAGCAACAGCTCTGTGGACAAGTTGTTTCGCTGGTCACTTCATTCATTTGGACTAGTTAAAGCAGTTCTGTTCATTGAAGCGGTACCCATTTCGTAGTGCTCTCCGTACTGCGATATTTGCATACCTTAATACGCATAAAGCCCGTGTCTGCTGATGTTTGAAGTGTCGTAATAACAAACAATATGAAGCTTAGAGGACAAAATCTCGTTAAACCACCTATATGTTGATCTACAATCTGAGCAAACTAAACGAAAAGCTCTTAAAAGATTTTAAAGCGACATGGAATGAGAGGAATAATTGCCACTTGCAAAATGGAGTCCGTCTACACAAACTATTACGTAGGATCCGTCACAATTCCTATTGTATTGGAATTTTTTCTTTCTGAGAGAGTTGTCCTTCGTCGGATATCCGAGGAAATCGTGGTAATCGTTTCCAAGATCACATCAGAAGCTGTCATCATGGAGTGGAAGAGGTTTTGCCGCTTTGCCGATAAGTTATGTTGGGTTGCTAGCTATTCCTAGCATTGCTTTATGCCTCAGTGGTCCGTCGAATGAGAATATCGAACTATTTCCAAATTTTAATGAATTTACTTAAAGGGTTAGGGGTTCCAATAACCTCGTTTTCTCTATCGCTCTTTGTTAGGTACGTATTCGCCCTTACTTTTGAGCGTATTCGAATTTCTTCTTTCTTAATGTGATTTTATAGGACGATACAAAATGTCCAGAAGCTGATAGTTTGAGTTGACTGCCCAAAGGATCAACTAGTGATCACGTCGTTTCTTACGAAACTGACCAAGATATCCCATTCTTTACAGGAATTCATTTTGAGGATCGTGTGATGAAAAGCTTCTTACAAGTGCATAAGAAATTACTCTGGCTATCTACGGCTCTTATTTAATGACGTCTAGTTGTCGACGATTTCGGAAGCGCCATTTCAATCTTAGCGCTTTTAAGTAGCTAGAATATTCGAAACTGCTCTCAGTCCAGTTTTTGAGTGACATCGGTTAAACGGGTAGAAAATCTCATTTCTTGAAAAGTTAAACATAGAGAGAGATAATGAAAAATGAAACGAAAAGAGGATGGGAAAGAAAGATGATGCTGTAAAGATTTCAAACACTCTAGAAATAAGACTAGAAATATTTGCTAAACGTAATTGTTTAACACCTACAATATGCCAAATTGCATAATTACATCTGATCGATGGGCCTTCTTGGATATCCAAAGGTTCGAAAATTTTGGAGTGTGCCGCTTGAATGTCATTGAGTAGCTAGAACTCAGGAAAAGAATGAAGTGTTAAGGTTATTGCAGATGTTTTTTCTTTCACAATCTCCAAAATATATATTTCAAAAACGAAGACAAACATCAGTGAACAAACTGAGATCAGATCGAAATCATGAAGCTCATAACCATTTAACAGAGCAAGATCGATCCCGAGGAAGAAGATATCTAATTGGTGGATTTCTTTGTCAATCCAGTTTTTGTTTGGTGGAACATCTAAGTTAGGCAACAATTCTGCTTGCTTAGAGGAGTTAAGCAGGTGATTATATGGCATGAAAAAAACGGGGGACAGAGATCCAACGGATAATTCTGATACTTTTAACAGCTACTGATCAGTACCAAATTTAATGCGAGCGCTAAAACTTGGAGAATTTCTTCGTACTCCTAACTCTGACCAGAAAAACTATCGGCGTTACATGAATGCGACACACGGTAACCCGTTGACTACGATCTTTGAGAATTCGGCTATTGGAGTGAATTTCTCCATTTCTACCCAAGTCGATGTGATTATAGTGTGAAAATCATTTAACGTCAAGTTAATTATTTTCAGTGGGATGTGAAAGCACCATTGGTTACTTCACCAACTTTCGCCAAATTCATTCCAGCGTATTTCAAATTGTTATGCCTTTTTAAGAAATACTTCGTAACATCATTGATAACTGCTTTAGTAGAAGAATCCCAGTCTTTTTTTCTAAGGCAACAAAACTCTTTCCATTTGTGGTGAAGACCTCGGAGCGCTTTAGGGAATCTATCTGGGGATTGCGGAGGGAGCTACGCTTTGTAGCATCCAATATATGAGTGAGAAGGAACGATAGATCCTCATGCCGAAACGGAACGCACACGAACCGAACCACTGACAGAGGTGATGGTTGCAAGATACCGAATCAAATGAAGAAGGAAGTTCTGGAACTCTCATGACATCTTGGGGTAGACCATCTAACTATCCAAGTACCTATTAATCTTTCTTTTATTATGTAGTACTAAGCGCAGTATAAAATCATGGTCATACTCATGGTTCCTACAAGTACTCTTTTGTTGAATATTTATGTAATTTGACTTCTTTGGTATACTATGTTCTATCCTGTCGATGCACTGGTCGGTTTTGACACTGCATCTAAAAAGATAGACG